GATCAAAATTATAATTTTGAGAGCATGCATCTTTTCTGTAGCCACACACAGATGTGAGTCGTGGACTATCTCCCAGTCCTTAAGAAATAGAATAGGGGCTTTTGAGCTCAAATGCATTAGAAAGATTCTCAGAATTTCTTGGACAATGAAAAGGAGAAATACTGGCATCTTGAAAAATCTGAACATCAAGAAAGATTGGCTAATTAACAGCATCCTGTCTCGAAAGCTGAAATATTTTGGTCATCTCTCTCTCTCTCTCTCTCTCTCTCTCTCTCTCTCTCTCTCTCTCTCTCTCTCTCTCTCTCTCTCTCTCTCTCTCTCTCTCTCTCTCTCTCTCTCTCTCTATCTATCTATCTATCTATCTATCTATCTATCTATCTAATCTATCTATCTATCTATCTATCTATCTATATATCTATCTATCTATCTATCTATCTATCTATCTATCTATCTATCTATCTATCTATCTATCTATCTATCTATCTATCTATCTATCCATCCATCCATCCATCCATCATCCATCCATCCATCCATCCATCCATCCATCCATCCATCCATCCATCCATCCATCCATCCATCCATCCATCCATCCATCCATCCACCATCCATCCATCCATCCATCCATCCATCCATCCATCCATCCATCCATCCATCCATCCATCCATCCATCATCCATCCATCCCATCCATCCATCCATATATCATCCATCTATCTATCTATTATCTATCTATCTATCTATCTATATCTATTATCTATCTATCTATCTATCTATCTATCTATCTATTCTATCTATCTATCTCTATCTATCTATCTATCTATTCATCTCACAATGTTATATTTATACTTTCATCGCTGTCTGTTTCTTGCTCTATCGTCTTTGTCGGTCCCCCCCCCCCCCAGCCCCCCACACACACTCCAACCTACGTACGGTTTTTCATTGTCTTTCAATGTGACCGAAATATTTCAACTGTCTCTTTATTTTTCGTTTATCAACCCCTGTTTTCACTTCGTCTCTTCAGAACCTCTGTGTTAGTTCCCATTAAATACGAAATACTCTTCTGTATTTCCACATTTCAAAACTCAGAACAATTTTCTAACTGCTTGTTTGTTGGCCAGACAAGAGCGGCGTACAGCTTACATACATTTTGGCAGTTCTCGTTTTTAATAAATGTAACTTCGATAGTAAAGAATAACATGACATCTGGACATTTTAAGAACAAGAGAATATAATGCTAACTGGAAAGATTAAGATTTAATTTGATTCAAGAACCGACATCACAGCACTCGGGGCATTCCCATAAGCGCTCTGTCCCCATCTTCAGCAGCCAGCGAAGAGTTCCGATACTAATGGTGCCAGTAGCATTCTGATTAAACGTCTGTCTTGCCTTTCCTCTGAGCCTCAAGCATCTGCCAGAACCTCTCGTAACCCCCACCTGCAACAATCTCACCAGACTGTGGTGATCCATCTGCTACTCCGAATTGTACACGCTCTCCCACAAGGCACTAACCATGTCTGCCCTATCATGTATCAGTATTCCACCAAGTTGTGCAGAGCCAGCCAGTCTGTTCATTTCCCAACACACCGTGACCCGGTGAAAAAATCCAGACAATACTCCTCACTCGTGTCCTCCGCTTCGAAGCATGCCACTCTGCACGAAGCATACCTGTTCTGATCTTCCTCAGCATGCTGACTCAGTTACAGTCACGATGTGTGTGTGTGTCGTGTTCTCTAGCCAGCGGAAAGCTGCAGTGACCGCCTCCACCTCCATTCTTGAGCTGGATGTTGTGGTATCATATGCTAGGCTCTCCTGCACCAAACGTCGACCATTAACTTTTGCTAAGAAGCCCAAAGCACTTCTTTTGCCTCTTGACACTGAACCGTCTGTGTAAATGATCAAATCCTCTGAGCGATCATTATCTTGAATTAACTAAAGAAATTTCCACCTCTGTGGCACCTGCTGGCCAGTCTCTGCATTCCCGGCTCAGCGTGGTTATGACTCTACACAAGTCTCACTGTTCAAGTGGCACTTTGATCCACTCCTCTTCTCGCCTAATGTTCTCAAGGATGCAAACCTGTCTGTGTCTTCTGCCTGAGCCATCCATGACCTCCCTTTTATCAGCCGCTGACCCTTAACTGCACCCAGAGCTTCATGCAGAGGGTGGTCTGTGTCTGCAGCTACCCTGAGATATTACTTGGCCTGCAGCACCTTGTGCCTACCTGCAACCGTCGGCAAACTAAGGATATATCTACTCTGGTGCAACCCAGAATGAACCGCATAGCTGCGTTCTGTATGCGCTCTAGTTTGTCCATCTGACTCTTTGAGACGGTAAGCAGTCCCAGGCCATAATCTACCACTGACAGGATCAGGTGCTGATATAGTATGAAAAGCATTCTCTGCTCTATGTCAATTGCAGCCATAGTCTTAAGTGCTCTAAGTCCTTTTTGGCATCTCGTCACAATACTCTCCACATGGTCCTTAAATGACAGGCCTGGAGCAGGATGACATCAAAATCAAAAATCAACCTCTCCAGGACAGGACCTCTCTGCCTAGCACTCCGACAGTTCCAGTATCCTACTCTTACATGATTAAAGCTCAGTCTCTTCACTTTTCGCCTTGTTCTCCTAGCTCCCGCTTTCCTATTTCTATGCCGTCTTCTCTCCCCATTCCCTTGTCGTCTCCTCCTCACTCCCTCTTCACTAACCGCTGAATAATGTGTCCTGCGCAGAGCACGTGCCCTGTAGCTCCGGCGACGATTCTTATGTATAATTTTAAAATCCATACGGGAAAAAAGCACTGCAGGAAATGACCGGTCACCCTAGTATTGCCTGCATGCTAGGGAAGGGGCAATGGATGTCCCGTAGGCGTCCATACGCCTGGTACCGCACCGCACGCCCGCCAGACGTCCAACGTTCACGACCAGCTCACCCGTGGCTATCCAGTTCCTCAGCACGTTGGCCCACGTTGGGGTTTAAATTCGGAGTTTGCCGTCTCCTAGATGGACTGCTGTGCAAAGCTGACGGGTTCCATCTACCCGGAGAAAAGGGTTATAGCGCCCCGAAGTGAAGTGAGTTATCAGTGAAGTGAAGAAGGAAATAATGAAAGAGATTACCAATAATATAGTTATAGCGCCCTGAAGTGAAGTGAGCTATCAGTGAATTGAAGAAGGAAATAATTAAAGAGATTATTAATAATATTGGGGCAGAGTGGATGGATCTGTAGGTGACGACAGTTAACTGAACAACCCCGCATGAGTAGACTGATGGTGTATGTTCTAACATGGACAAAAGACAGCAGAAGAAAGGAGTTAAAAGCAATATTGCATTTTCCTGTCTTGGAACATTACTACAGAAGTCTCATGATAGATGGTAGAAACGTCAACAGAGAGAGTTGAGATGTTATCGTCTTTTTTAGGATAAAATTTTGTGTTTTTTGAAGCCCCACCCTGGCTTTTGCCAGGGGCCGCAATATAGGCAGGCTATAGACATGGCCAATTGTCTGAACCCAGTTTCTGGGACCTCTCCACGGCGATCCTCATCCACATGGTGGCACTTTGTGTCCTCGGGTGTTTATCGCTTGTGTGATGTCCTGGTAGGGTAGAAAGTCAGTCAGTCAGTCACAGAGAGAGCAAACTGAAGTATCTGGGAAAGATTAAGAGAAATAGATAATATTCCCCGCCCCCCCCCCCCCCCCCCGCGATATGAGTTATGATTTTTGTCTGTACATTTTAAGAACTGGAGAATATAATGCTAACTGGAAAGATTAAGAGAAGTAAAGAATATAGGGAATATCTCCTCTCCCCCCCCCCCCACCCCACATCCCCTCCCCCTTTGAATATGATTTATCTGTGGCTGCGTTGATTACACCAAAGCTCACACCACATGCCTTTTCAAAATCTGACCCTGAAAGTGAATATGATTATTAGAGAAAAGAAGAAGACCGTAAAATTAACTACTATGGTCCCTTGTTTTTACGCTACCCTGAAAAATCACGTTCTCGGCTTTTCATGAAACAAGTCAAAGGTCAGAAACTGTGACCCGGATGTTGATGTTTGAATCACTCTATTTGACTATTTGTTGTGGTATTCGAAAGTCATGGAAATAAGGGTGAAATAAGTCGAACCGGCACATGAATATACTGAACACGAGCTATGACTATGAAACTCGACGAGAAGAGAAGGGAAGAACCCGGACAAAAACAATGAAACGTTTCGACCGAAGTCTTTTTTCAACAAGTACCACAACAACAAGAAGAGGTCTCAACTTCACAGCAGACGAGTCACCCCAAAACAATAATATTTGCCCCGTCCGTTCCTATGTCGGTGAAAATAAATGCTCTCTACTGTCCCGTTTAAAAAGCTAATGATCAGATTAGTCCCTGCAAAGTCCAAGAGCTTGCACACACATTTCTATCTGTAATAAAAATGGTCAGGTTTGTAAAATTATCTTACAATGGCAGGTGGCCTAAAAGTTTCAGACCATCTGGATCTAATGAACAATTTTTTTCCAGCTGAGTATTGCTTTTATAAAATGAAAAAAGTATTATTGGTAATTATTTTAGGACACACCAAATGCAAACATTGCAGCCGATTGTATCATCCTTACATTATAAACTGTGAAAAAAAACAGTTGCTCAGTTTGTGAGTAAATCTGGTTGTTTTAACAAGATGGACAAGAATATGACACTTTCTGCTATTCAAAGAGCTGGAATAGTATTCTTACACGAAGAAGGGTATACAGAACATGATATTTCCATTCATATTGCCTGTAGCAAGACTGCCGTTCACAGTTCGATTATCAGGTACCAGTTGGATGGTAATTTTTCATACCTTAAGAGAACTGGATGTCCTAGAAAAACAACCCCTGGAGGCTACAGGGTAATTAAAACCATGTTTTCACTCTCCCCAACAACTTCATGTCAGAAGATCCAATCTGTTTTGCATTCTAGAGGTGTCTCGCAGATTACTGAATTCAAAAAACCCTACAGAAAAAACAGGAGGAAATGTCAACTCTGAAAGAACTGTGTTCAGGAATTCAAATAGACCCACTGCCCGAACCTAAACCTCGTGATGACAGTGTTCCACATGCGCCAGTGCGGTCTCCAGATCTAAACAAGGATGAGGAAAGAGTAAGTGTTTTAGTTATGTCAATAAGTTGAACAAGTTTTCTGTGGTATAATGTTTACAATCACAGGAATCTGCTACAGCTATTACTACTGGTGCTGAATATAATACTACTATTACTAATGCTGCTACTACTAACTGTGAGTCTTAATCCTTGGCCTTAATCCTGAGCCTAAATTCCTTCTACATGAGGTATCTGAGATGCATCCTTGGCATATCATGGAAGGACTATGTAACAAAACAGAACAACAAAATTTAAAAAAGAGCTTGAAAGAGCAGTTATAACCACACTGCACTCGCTCCTCAGGCAGAGATTTTTTAAGTGCCTGGCCCATGTATTTTAAATTAAGTATGACGGTATTCCCATGTATCTTAAGGGAGAGCTAGCCACAGGAAAGAGGCCAGCTGGAATACCCCAGATGTCATATAAGAATGTCTGTAATCAGGATGTGAAAACCATTGACAGGGATACATAGTAGAGATGTACAGCAGACAGATATTCTTTTAGAAAAGATTTGTAAAACAGACTGATGCTCTTTTAGTACAATTTGATCCAGCTAAGGACAAGGTGCACAAGTATAAACTGCAGCCACTTTCTATGACCTGCCCACAGATAAATAAACTGTGATCGAGATTGTCACTCTCGCATCAGACTGTTTAGTTACTAGCGGCACTATCAGGCACCTGCCCTGCTGCACAACTCTCCTGCAGAACTTAAAAGGAGCCTTCTACTAATACTAACTAATAATTCTTCTACTGCTGCTGCTGCTACTATTACTGCTGCTGCTGCTACTACCACTGCTGCCCCAATGACAGCAACTACCACTGCTGCCCCAATGACAGCAACTACCACTGCTGCCCCCATGACAGCTATTATTACTGCTGCCCTCATGACAGCTACTACTACTGCTGCCCCCATGACAGCTACTGTCACTGCTGCCCCCATGACAGCAACTACTACTACTGCCCCCATGACAGCTACTACCACTGCTGCCCCCATGACAGCTACTACCACTGCTGCCCCCATGACAACTACTACTACTGCTGTCCCCATGACAGCTACTGTCCCTGCTGCCCCCATGACAGCAACTACTACTACTGCCCCCATGACAGCTACAACCACTGCTGCCCCCATGACAGCTACTACCACTGCTGCCCCCATGACAGCTACTACTACAGCTGCTGCTATTTCTATGACTTCAGCTGCTATTATTACTGTTAACAGTAGTAGTAATTTTAGTAATCGTTTTTTTTCATCTTTCTATCTCGTGTCACATTATGCTGTAGAGAGGCATAGAATTCACAGCCCGTTGTGATGGCATGTGTGACTAGCAAGACCCACCCACTTGAAGAAAAGCCCCCTCCACAATCAGAGCATGTGATTTCAGGACCGATATTACCATCATATGTATATAGTAGGCTTCTTTTCAGATGCTTAGCTTTCAACCTGCAATCATTCTTTCTTTCCTCCCATTCTTTTCCTTTGCAGCAGGAAAGTATTTTTAGCTGATGAATTTGTGGGGTTTATGTTTTCCACTCCAGATGATCTCTGTAGGAATTCCATCTGTGTCTGGGGCTTTCCCCGAAGCAGTAGCATGAGTAACTTCTTCTGAGTACAGCTCCAGATAATGTTCCATCCATCTAGTCAACTGCATCGTCTTGTCAGCAATAATCTCCCCATTCAGACTCTTTAGTGTTGCACTTTTTAATATATGGACAAATGGCTACTTTTATCCCCTCAGAAATTCCCTAATATTTTCGCTATTGCTAGCATTTTAATGCTTTCACATAACTGAACCCAGTAGTCATTAGCACACTGTCAAGCTAGATACCTATTGCAAATCATTTCTAGCTTCTGTGAGTTCAAAGGTTGAAGTGTCCTCTCCCTAGCACAAAGTGTTGCATAAGCATCATGATCTCTCTCTCAGCCTGCCTTGTTTACCTCACAGGCAAGGTAACACAAATACATTTGGAGCAGAGCACACAGCAAAAGCACAAAATCAACGCTCGGTCTGTCCCCCTGTTGGAGTTTCCCTCCTAGACCAGCTGCCAGCCAAGGTTAAAGGATTGGTCTGCTCTGCCATAACATAAAGTTTTTAGGTTGTATTTCCTCTTCCTAGGATAAGGCTAGCATCCTCCTCAGTGCGCTCCTCCGCCCAAAGCCGTTGGCACAATGTGGGATGTTAGATTTAGTATACACTGCCCAACATTCAGTGTTAACAGAGAACAGGTTGTACCGACTACAGTCATAGGGTAGCTCAGTCATATCTGACCAAGATCAGACACCCAACAGTAGCAGTAGTAATTATTATGATGATTTCCCCAAGGACAAATATTTCTGGGTTAAATCTACATCAAGAAACCCACAGACACATAATTAGTTACTCTCTGCAGACTCCTCATAGTTTCACATTTTTGCCACAAACACCATTTTTTTTAATAGTCATACCAAAGATATTAAAATTTATAAAAATTATAATCACAGAATGGATTACATGCTACACTGAAGGCTTGTTTATAAATAAAATCACACATTTGTTCCATGGATGCCCAGAGATCCACTGACCACCAAATGGAAAACACTTTTTTAGAAAATTCAGTACATGACCTTCACAGATTTATATGATATAGCAGGGGTAAAACCTGAGTCAGAGATGCATAAAATGGTAAATAACACTTGTCTGTTTTCTTGTTGTTTTCTTCAGCTAGCTATTCAGAATGCCCTTCGATACTTTCTACCAAAGTATCATGAAATATTGGCGCCAGAATTTGCAATTGAGCTGCGGACATATGGACATATCTATATGTACCGCTTCAGACCACAAATTGAGATGAGGTATGGTCTATAGGTTTAAAAAAAAATATTTAATGTTACCGATTTATTTATAAACATCAAAGTCAGAATTCTTACCTGTGAAACCAACATAAATTCATCACTGCTTTCTCTGTTGATATTCTTAGAATACTAGTCCATTCATTAATACTTATCCATTTCCTATTAATGAGATCAACACAAAATTATGACTGTTTGCACAGTAGATATACTTAAAATATTTACACTCAGGATTGCCTTAAACATTTACACAGTAGTGTTGTCTTCTTCTTCTTTGCATTCAGTTTCGCATGCTTAGATCAGACCATTAGGTGGGTAGCCTCTATGAACTCGCATGTTAAATGGGGTTACAACTTGAAAAAATTTGGTAGCCACAGCTCTAGTACAAGTGAGGCCTTTCAGGACAAAGGAACAAATATTTTACTATTAAATTTGTTAGGAAGTTTTTTATTTTTATTTTCCAAGCAAATACTGTAAAAATTTAAAATTTAAACCATCTCTAGCTGACTTAAATGTCCATATGTAAATTTAGAATACCATAGCTTGATTTCACAGTTGTGGTAATTGCTTTAATACATTTACTGGGAGTGCGTAGAACGTGTTTCTGGCTGTCATTTAACTGTCTCTATCCCCGTGTAGGTTCCAGGGCCTCATTTCGAAAACAAGAATAGACTCACTGCCTCCTGACAAGCATATTGTAAAATGTGATAGGAGATTGCAGATATAGAATGTGTTGGTCAATCAGAAAGCCACCGAAACTGGCACAAGATGATTACTATATTATGGACAGACCAGAGCAAGTCATTATCCTTTACCTTAGAACAGAGCACAATCGACTTAGCTGTCACAGCTACACAAAATTAAAGATTGGCAAATCAGCCATGTGTACCTTTGGACTGGCACCTGAGACAACAGATCACATCCTCCAAGACTGTCCCAGATTCAACGCTTCCAGGCAAAACTTCTGGCTAAAAGAGACACTTGTGGAAGTCAAACTTTACTGGCGGCTTAGTAAATTACAAAAGACAGTGGAGTTCATACTAGAGACAGATATAGTAAATTTATTTCAAGTGAACGAAAGAAGAAGAAGAATATGTTAGGCCAAAGGGCGCAGACATGACAGTCTAACTGTAAACCACAACATAGCCTCCCAGCCAAACTTTTGAAGGATGACCACAGAAAAAGAAAAAGAAACCCATTTCTGTCCATTCTTTCTGTGCTTCTCATGATGTTTGAGGTTTTGAACAACAGATCAACATCATGGCACATGGGTACTAACCCATAAATGCTCTGTTCTTCTTCTAACTAAAGTCTGAGTCCAAAGAAGCTCAGCACAGTGCACAGGCTCTGTAGCACCGGCGAGGATCCTGAAATACTTTAGGTAGATTTTTTACTCCAAAGGGATTTTTTACGTGCGTAACAATGCACACTGGTGTCCGATCTCACTACCCAGAGACCAGGGGGAATTACTAAAAGTCCAAGTCCAGATGAAAATAATCGCAGCCTTTACCGGGGATTGAACCCAGAACCTATTGCACTCGAGGCAGAAACCATGCCTTGAGACCACGCAGCCCACTTGCTTCTCATGATGGGAAATTATGCAGTGTACCATTTCTGCACTATCAACTTTCAGGCTCCTTAAGTTATTGTACAGTGTACAACAACTCCAACTGCTCCAATATGCTGAGAAAAGAAATACAATCTAAATTACAATTTGGAAAAACAGTATGCTGTATCTTTCAACATCTGCTAAAGTCAAAGATTTTTGTCCTCGCAACACGAAGATCAAAATATATAAAATGTTGATAAGACTGGCTGTTTTATGTGGCTCTGACACTTGGAGCACAACTAAAAGAAAATTAACATTAATATAAATTTTCAAAAAACAAAGCCTTACGACGAATCTTTGGACCCATCAAAGATGCAGACACCATGGCATGGAGAGTGAGAATCAACAATGAAATTCATAATCTGTTAACATCACCATACATCACCATTGATCACTGGCATCAGGGAAAGCTAATAGACTTAAATGGCTGGGGCATATTGAGAGAATGTCAGATGACAGAGGGGTAAAAATTGTGTACACAAGTGAGCTGAATGGTCATAGACCTTGGGCCAGACCAAGAAGACGATGGAGAGATAATGTCCAGACAACCTACAAACACTAGGTGTCACCAACTGGAAAGAGAAAGTCAATGAGAGGGATGATCGGAGGTAAGTGATCTCTGCAGCAATGAACCTCAAGGGATCTGAATGCTGAAGATGAAGAAAAAAGAAGTAGAGGAAGTAGAAGAAGAAGCAGAAGAAGAAGAAGAAGAAAAAGAAGTACTAGGAATGAAATCTATGGTTGTTGTGAATTATGACGCATATGTAGTAACGATCATATACCTTGTAATACAGTTAAGTACAGATACATCCAAATTCGTTATTCGTGTGTGCATGTGTGAGACAGAACTACTAAGTATACTGCAACAACAGAAGGTGCAAAACTGAATACCATTTTAAATATATATAATTATCTCTTCACAAGAGCCTATCGTTTGTCTGAGTATCCAGCCAAGTGTGTTGAAGCAGCAGCCATAATGCATATGATAATGAACAATCTGGACCCAAGAGTCGCCCAGTATCCCCACGAGCTTGTTACTTATGGGGATAACGGGCAAGTGTTTTCCTGCTGGGTTCAGGTATGGGTTTGGCCACATTGCCTAACTAGAGAGATATCTATCTACAGGGTGTCTCATGTTTCCATACATATGAAAAAATATGTTTATCACCAATGCCATTAGAAGCGTACTCCAGCGCTTATATGTGTTCTTCAGCAGTGGAGAACATGCATCAAAATTTGTTTTCAAAATCATTTTATTTTTCCTATTTATGGAAATTTATGGGACACCCTATAGTGGTATGAATTTTGCTCTTGTATTCACTTATCAACTGCATATGAGACTAAAATTTTACAGCAGAACATCTGAGAGGAAGGTGATAGGAAGATCAAAAAGGAGATGGATAAATGATGTAGCCAAAACCTGCAAAGAAAAAATGAACAAATCCATCACTCAAGCCATCCGAGTAGAGCAAGACAAGTACAGAAAAACCATGACACTGGGCTATAACTTTGTATCAGTGAGACCAAAAAAGAAGAAGACAGATTCACTTATCTGTTTTGCCTACAGTGTCCAGTTTCACTTCAGATGTCTGTTGAGAGAAATAGAAAACAGAATACAGAAGGTCAACAACATGAATTACCAGATAGCGCCACTTTTGAGGTATCTGAATGTCAGCATGCACACACACAAAAGCAGCTGATAAATGTGCTTTTCGTACCAACTTTGTACTGTCTATGCTAGACATGAACAGTCCTAGAAAAACGTAAATGCAAAATTACATGTGAGATGAGATGTATAAGAAATGCAGCGGGGGAAAAACAAGTTTAGACAGAGTCACCATGAAGAAGTAAGAACAGTAGAGTACAGTGAATGATTCCATAGAACATCAAAGAATCCAATGATTTGGTTATCTAGTCAGAATGGAACAAAATCAACCATCAGCTAGAGTGTACTATGTGAGAGCAGCAGGGTACAAGGCGAGAGGCTGACCAAGAAAGCGATGGGTGGAGGGAGTAAAAGAGATACTACATAAATACAGTATGACATTAACATAAGCTACGCAGCTTGCAAAAGCCAGAAAACCACATACAACTCCTCTCTGTGACACTTTGAGGCAGAAGCAGCAGGGAAGAAAAAAAGATGTGTTGACCTAGGAGCTGCGATAGTGTACTGTCTAGATGCTCCTCTCCCTGTCTGAAGGTCTTGGGTTTGAAGCTGCATCAAAAAGTATTCTTTCAAAATTGATCTTAGCTCCCAGGTTCCTTATGATTTTAGCATAGTCATTTAAAAAAAAATTACTCGCCATGGAAGCAGTAGGATGCACCTAAATTACCCGCTCAAGTGTCCACATTGTTCAGTTGTTAGACATAGTTATGGTATAAGTGTTTTTCTATTGTGTCAAGGTATGTATATTACCTACATTGTACATTTCAGTTTCTACTGACCATGAAATACCTGTCAGAGATGACCAGTGATCAGACTCTAGTCATGTACTCTGGACATCCAATGGGACTTTACCCCAGCTCCCCTAAAGCCCCTAGAATGGTCATCACAAACGGAATGGTAATTGTTTGCATGTCTGCCTTATTCCAGGTGGATGCTACTGTTGAAAAGACTGCAAGATGGTCTGCTGCCAAATCACCTGCAGCTAAAATTAAATCGTGCACCACAGAATTACAAGACACGTTCACAACACTAAGTTTTAGATACAGTAAATTTCTATCCCCCCCCCCCCCTCCCCACAACCCCCATCATTCTGAGCCCTTGAGAACTCACCATCATTCATCTCTATTTTTGGCCTTCTCCTTCCATTTGGTGACTCAAAGGTTTTATAAGTCTGCCTAGGGGGCTGAGGGGTCTCAAGGCATGGTGTTCGCCTCGAATGCTAGAGGTACCAGGTTCAAGTCTTGGTGAGGACTTGGATTTTTTCATGTAGACTTCTAGTAATTTACCCTGGTCTCTGGGTGGTAAGACCAGACGCCCGTAAAAAAAAATCCCTTGGCAGTTGGACATTGAAAAGAGTAGCCTAAATTAGCTGCCCGGGCAAAATTTGGTGTTAAAAAATCTACTCAACGTATTTTAGGATTCTCGCCAATGCATCCGAGTTTGTGCACTGCGCTAGAATTCTTTAGACTCAGGCTTGAGAGAAGAAGAACGGAGCACTTATGGGTTACATCCGTGTGCCATGATGTTCATCCGTTTAATACACATAAACGTAAGTCTCCCTGTAAATTATCCCTCCACTGTCTTCTTGATGTACCTTGTTGTCTACTTCCTTCAACTTTTTTTAATGCATTTTTTGTCTCTGTTATCTGCCATTCTCTCTGTATACCACAGACATTGCAGTCTTAGTTTAGCCTCCTTCATAATGCCAGTTATTAGGGATGGTTTACATATATATTTTGAATTTGGTTGTTGATTCATATTCTCCATTCTACACTATTTGCATTTTTGATGAGACCGAACGTTCATCATAAAACTATTCTTAAAAATGTGTTATAAGATACGAAATAATTTCTTATGGTACATGCTGTATGGCATTAGTAGTCATGTCTATCCACAACCTTCTGTCACCGGTATTTTCAGTAAATTCTGACACAGATTATCTTCAGTGCCATGATGTCAAACTGTCTAGCAACTTCTTTCTCGGTAAGAAATAACTAGTCACAGATATGGTGGATCCAGATGTAGTTTCGTTGCCCAGCTTCTGAGGAGTGCATGGCGTAACACTGTGAGCTGTGGATTTCATTTGAACTATGATAAACATATTATGTGTTTTTTGTTAGCACAGGAGCGGAGCAACTATGGGGCGACTCGTTTGCTATGAAGCTGAAACTAAGATTACCAGATGTAAAATGGTATCGAAGATGAGGGAAGGGTGACTCTTGGCAAAATGATATCAACAATGAATTTAAATCTCCCCGTGTGAGTTCCGGGGCCCTATTATAATAAGAATAGACCCACTGCTACCCAAAAGCATGTCGTAAGAGTCGACTAATTGGGAGCTTCCTTCGAAGTCAGAGTGCATCTGCCTGAGGGGCAAGGAACCAGCAGTTTGCATACAAATGAGTCATATCTGTAAAACGGATGCACACGCAGTACTCAAGTTCTGAAAAAGGACTGCAGTTCAGAAGTGGACGAACAACCAGAACTTTCCACCGGAATTTACAGCTGGTGAACGCAAAGAAGAAGAAGAAGAAATCAAGTTAAGGACCTTCTCATATTAGTGGTGCTCAGGGAATAAGATGCTGTCTCATATTTTTACAGAAAGCACACATACATTCAACTACAGATTATAAATATGAGAGTCCATGAGTAAGACCACAGTTTACCCTAGCAAAGAAGGTGCTGAAGTCAGGGGCAACCAGCCAGCAGGCGCACCACAGCAGTCAGGATACCACACACAAACGCAATAGGAAAAATATTTATATCTGAAAACAAGTATGAATTTCACTATGGGACCGATGCACACACTCAGCTACAGAAATGAAATCAGTCATTCACGCTAATAAGTCCTTGAATGAGACCTGTTCTTGAATCCAATCAGTCTTTGACTCAGATGTATTATTTTTAATCCAATTATTTCTCTTATTTAATGGCCCTTGATTTCAGTCATTCCTTTCCTGTGTGGGTTCTGGTCGACATTGAGGGAGGGGATGGGAGAGACTCACCGCAACCTAACAGACATGTCATTAAAGATGACCGATTAGGGTTTTTCTCCTTCGAAGTCAGAGTTCATCTGCTTTAGAGCCAAGGAAGCAATAGTCTGCATACAAGTAAACTAGGTCTGTAAAATGGATGAGCTCGCAAAACTCAATTTCTGTAATAAGACCATAGTCCAGAAATAGACCAAAAACTTGAACTTTCTGCTGGAGTTTACACCAGTGAACCCTAGGAAGAAATAGGACATTGTTTAAACTACATTAACCACATACTTTTGCATTTTAGCCATTCGAATACCCTTTCATTTCTGATCACAGATGGTGCCAAACTACTCAAGTGGAGATATGTACTACAAGTTATTTGCTATGGGTGTGACCATGTATGGCCAGATGACTGCTGGTAGTTACTGCTATATTGGACCTCAGGGCATCGTTCATGGCACCATGGTAAATAATTCTGAAATATTCTTTTTGAAACAGCATGTATGACTCATATTTTCCCTCATGGCTTCAAAGGTCATTACTAGTCTAATGAGTATGAGACTATAGTGACTAGTCCATTAGGCATGTAAGTACATTGGTGGCCATCTTTTTTACTTCTATTGAATAGTCTCTATTACAGAATAGAGTTTATTACAGAGCCTAGATATTCAAAGTTTCTGAAAATTTCAATTTCTTTATCATTTATTGTTATTTTTATGGGTGACTGGCAATTTTGACAGTGCACAATATAATTTTTTTTTTTTTAATTCAGGAACAGGTGACAAATGACATAACGAATTTAACAATAAATAAATTTGAAAATGAATTACGTAAATGAAATATATGTTTTTCAGTTAACTATCCTGAATGCAGCAAGAAAACACTTTGGGACAAGCAACTTGTCTGGAAAAGTAAGTTCTGAGACATTATATTGTGCACAAAATGTTGCTACTATTTTAGTTGTAAATAAGTTTTAAGTAAAAATATAGTTGAAATGTTTTAAAATTAAGAAGTTTAGATGTGGATGAAATGAAAGATCTAGGCATATTCCTAGGGTTGAACTCTTTCCGGACATTTTGCCGATTAATCAGCGACAGAATCAGTTTAGTTTAGGCATATTGCCTATTCAGTGGGTGCATACATAGGCACTGTAATATTATTCCATTTTCTAGGGAAATTAATTTCTATGAACATGTCATAAAAAACTACAATTAGCGAAACAAAGTATTTCCATTTTCAGTGATGTTGAATGTTGAGTTAAGAATTTACATCACAGCACTCGGGACACTCCCATAAATGCTCTGTCCCCCATCTTCAACATCAAGTGAAGAGTTCCAGTTCCGGTGGTACCACTAACTGTCTGACTGTATATCCATCTCGCCTTTCTCTTTAGTGTTGAGTGTCGGCCAGATCCCCTGGTAACTCCTCACAGCGCCATTCTCCTCAGACCATAATGATCTGTTTGTGGGTCCACACTGTTCACTCGCTACCAAAGGGCCCTGACAACATCCAGCTTGTCATGCATCAGTTCATTACAAAATGGGCAGAACTGGCCATTCCATCTGCCTACTTATTTACCAACACACTGGCATACAAGGAAAAAATATCCAAAGAACAAGACCTCTGAAGTAGTGCTTGCCAGTTTGAATGGAGCATGCCTGTCTCCACCATTCTCAACATGCTCTGTGAGTCAGTTATAATTCTGACATGTATGTACAGCTGATTGCCTGTCCAGTGAAAGACAGCAATGACTGCCTCCGCCTCCATTCTCAAACCTGTGATATCATATGTCAGACTTTGTGGCACTGAGTGACTTACATTCCCTTCTGAGATGAACCCCCATGCACTTCGTCTGCCTGTAAACACAGAGCCATCTGTATAGATAATCACATCATTTGGACAGGAATTGTCATGAATCATTTGTTGAACTTCTGATTCTGCAGCACCAGCTGGCCAGTGCTGCACTCATGACCTAAAGTGATAAGAACCCTGCACAAGTCTGAAACTTGATCTGACACTTTGACCTACTTCTCTCCTCGCCCAATTTATCAAGCCTGCACACATGTCTAATTGTGTCTTCAGCTTGCACCATCCAAGTTTTTTCCTCTTTTTAGTCTATGACCCTTAGCTCTGTCTAGGGCATCATGCAGGAGGTGCTTCTTGTCTGCAGCTACTCTGAGATATGACTTTGCTTGCAGAGCTTTGAGCCTGTCTGCAATAGTAAAGGCTGAGGTTGTCCCGGGGCGATATTACATGGTTCTGAGGTCCATGTACCCAGGTGAAGGGCAACCATATGTGAATGTAGGACAGCTGCTATCCAGTTAACCAGCCAGGGACACACTCTCTTCTTCCCAAGGCCAGATATCAAAATATCGTATCTGACTCTATTGTAGGCATCCATAAGATCAAGTGATGCCACTACCATCTCCTGTCTATTCTGGAATCCCTTATAAACATCAAAAGCAAAAGTAGCTGCATTAGGTATCTTACCTTGGCCGGTAACTACCCAAACCTTTTGGCAGGAGCTCTTCCCTTTCCAAAACATTAGTAGTTTAACAGCAATAATCTTCTGTAGCACCTTGCCAGAAGTATTTTGTAGGGTGATAATCTTGAAACCGTTCAGTCTGGAATGATCTTTGGCATTGGGATGGGATTAGGTAGCCGTGTACCTAATTCTGGTGTACTGCAGCTGTTCTGATGCTCTGGTTGAAGTGAAAAGCCTTCTACCTCAAGTCTTCATCACTCATGCTCTTCATGCGGCATACCTGACTCCATCGGGCCCTGGCGCATTGTCTTTTGCTTTTTGCAATATATATTTTATATCCTCCACCCTAATGATATTATGAAAATAATTACTACTGGTAGTATTAGACATATTATCTTCAACTGAATGTTTCAGTTGCATATCATTATGATCAGTTTGGGCAATAAATCTCTCCAAAAACGCTTCCCCTTTCTCCTTGTCTGTTGTCATTGGCATACCATTATCCCTTCCCCCCACCCCCCACCCAAATCTGCTGCACACCGCTTTAACTCTTCTACTTTTCTTTTTTAACTCTTTCTAGCTTCTCAACATCTTCTTGTAACCTGTGAGATGTGTCGCACTTTCTGTAATTGTTCAACTGCTGCTTGCTTTGCTCTCCATGCTGTTCTACTTATTGGGTCCACCATCGAGGCTGCACGAAAGCAGAGATGGTGGTTCTGCTGCTTACCTTCTGTTGAAGGCATCCAAATAGGGTACTGGCCCTCTTATACTTGGTCTGAAATGTAACATATCACACAGAAATGGTCATAAAATCTGAAGAAATTTAGACTAATTGTCTCAAATAAAGACTAGCTCATTCATAATTGAGTAGAGAAAGCAAATGAATTCTTAGAAATGGATAGCATTATTGCTGATCAAGTAAAAAAAAAAAAAGTAAGAAAAATACAAAATTTAATGTGTCAGAAATCTTCATGTTTGTCTAACATCCTTGAATGTGGTGTCGTTTTGTTATTTTGTTATTGCAGTACTGGTCCTTAAATAGTTTAGATATGGTCTATATTTGTTTCTCTTTAATGTGCTATACAGCCATACTTTTTTGTTTTCAGGAAGGTTTTAGCTTTGTCATGTTGCATTAAAAAAATTCAGTTCAGCAAATTAATTCTGTTCAAACCCAGAAAGAAATGCCATCCTGAAAGAGTTAATTAGGTAGGGATAGTAATGAAAATGGCGGCCTCCGCGGCTTAGGCTCTGCGAGTCCGATTTGTAATTCCAACGTACCGCGATCAAAACCCACTGCTGGCTGCATGGATTTTTATCATGGTATGGGGCGTTGCAGGTCGACCCAGCCTACAATGGGTACCAAGATGGCTGTCCTGTGGAAGTAAAGATGGCAGTTGTAATGCTGACCACATTACCCACCTAGTGCCGATGGTCTGTAAAAATATGGGCGCTCTTCCCATATACTCGATACACCAAAAGATGTGAAAAGGGATCTTTACTTCACTTTTACTTTTAGTAAGGAAAATATATTTCATAAATATGATACTTCACTTAATTCATGATGTTCTGTTTTGGTCTTTTGGTATGTTCACAATATTTGGCCTAATATCATCATCAGTCAGCAGGTCCTTCACATAATGTTGTTCTCCTCACACCTGAAATTTTCTCTTTCTCCAGTCATTTCTTCAGTCATTTCTCCAGCCATTTCTCCAGCCATTTCTCTAGTCATTTCTTCAGTCATTTCTCCAGCCATTTCTCCAGTCATTTCTCCAGCCATTTCTCCAGCAATTTCTCCAGCAATTTCTCCAGCCATTTCTCCAGCCATTTCTCCAGCCATTTCTCCAGGCATTTCTCCAGTCATTTCTCCAGCCATTTCTCCAGCCATTTCTCCAGCAATTTCTCCAGTCATTTCTCCAGCCATTTCTCCAGCCATTTCTCCAGCCATTTATCCAGTCATTTCTCCAGCCATTTCTCCAACCATTTCTCCAGCCATTTCTCCAGCTTCAATTGCTTTTATAGCCAGTGCATCTTCAGTGTTTTGTATTAACCTTTGTGGCCTGTCTCTGATTCTTGAAAGAAACTGACTCACAAGAACTAATTGCCAACATCAGAAGGAGACAGTCTACATTCTTTGGTCATGTCGTGAGAAGGAAAAAACTGGAGTAGCAGTTTGATTATATGTCCGTCTTGCCTTTCCTCTGAGTGTAGAGTCTCAACCAGATCTCCTGGTTACTCCTTCATAGCTGTCAGTTGTATTAATTCATGTCCTTCTTCATCTTCTTCTTCTTTTGCTTTCTTAAAATAAATTATCTATATATGCAATGTTGTCTCTAGTATGAACGTCACTGGCTTTTGTAATTCACTCTGCGACCAGTAAAGTTTGACTTGCACCAATGTTTCTCTTGGCCAAAAGTTTTGCCTTGATATGTTGTATTTAGGACAGTCTTGGAGGACATGATCTGTTGTCTCAGGTGCCAATTCACATGTGCCCATGGCTGATTCGCCAGTTTTATGTTCTAAAATTGTTTCTCAGTATGATGAAAGGCTGTTAGTATAATTATCATGGAAGATTGATCGAACAAGCATATAAACAGTTGGATGGTTATTTCATTTAATTAAATATTCCAGGTGTTTGTCAGTGCTGGGCTGGGTGGGATGAGTGGTGCACAGGCTAAAGCTGCTGTCATCTGTGGGTGTATTGGGGTCATTGCCGAGGTAAGGCTGTTTCATTTGCAACTGTTGGAAGCAGTACTGTATAGCAAATGTAATTGTATACACTTTAGATTGATTTAACATGATTGTTGATGCTTAACTGAGCATTGTAGTATTATAAATGGTTTATAAATTTATATCCAATTGTAAATGCTATAGAAATATCCCTTCAAGTTAATTGTAAATAAATTTATAACTTGAAAAATATATGTTGTAATTATGTGTTCTTAAAATATATTTTGTAGTTACAATAGACATTTTAAATACCTTGCAAAAACATAAAATGGATTATTTTATAAGGGATTTACTTTCAGTCTATTTGGTATGTTATTTTTTTTAAATGATGTTTATTTATCGCTTTCATCTGTATTTTCTGAAGACAAGACTCTTTTTTTTTACCTCGGATATGCCACCTAAAGATTTGACCAGACAGCACTCTACATAGTAAATCCCATATCCCTGTTCAGCCTCCTAAGAAGTTATAATTGGGTAGGTACTGTATGGGTAAAGCACCTGACATCTTTTTTGTGACAAACTATTTTGAACCTGTGTATATTAGTCCACTGCTGAAAAAAGGGATAGTGTCACTGTAATTATTTATTTTCAAGACCTGTAAATGTCTTTAGAAGGAGTCGCCGTGGCGGAGCGGCTAGGCGCTCGCCTGCGGATCAGAAGGTCATGGGTTTGCTCCCTGGTGGAGAATAACTTTTTTTTAAATGACCTTAGCTTCCAGGTCGACCCAACCTTGAGTGGGTACCGGGTGCAGTCTGGGGAAGTAAAGGCAGCTGGCATGATGCTGACCACATCACCCATCTTGTGCCGATTGGTCTATGAAATATAGGTCTAGTCCTATGTGCCCTACAAGCCTATAGACGTGGAAAAGGGTCATTTACTTTACTTACTTTTTACTGTGTCTTTAACCTACACTCTGCTAGATTCTCTGACTGACTTTCTATCCCACCAGGACATCACACAAGCAATAAACACCCAATGTCACGATGAGCCACCATGTGGGTGAGGATCACCGTGGAGAGGTCCCGGAAACCGCATTTAGCCTTCAGGCCTTATTTATGGCTAGGCTATATTGCGGCCCCTGGCAAAAGCCAGGGTGGGGCTTCAAAAAACGAAAACTTTTATCCTAAAAAGGACGGGAAATGTAACTAGATTCATTTGTTTTCTTCTGGTTATTATCTTACTTGAGGTGACAGTGTATGGTTATTGTTTTTTTTTTTTTAATGGACAGGTCAGTGAAGAGGCCTTAGTGAAGCGTCATAAGCAAGGCTGGGTAATGGAAGTTGTCGATGACTTAGACAATTTAATGGCCTTGGTGAGGAATGCAAGGAGACGTAAAAGGGCAGTAAGCATAGGTTATCATGGAAATGTGGTGGACGTATGGTAAGTGTTGTCCCTTGATTCATGATCTCAGCTAATTATATTATTGAACATGTAATAACTTTTAACAAATTAACTTTTAAAAAATCCAATATGGTCTAATGGCTAGGATTCTGTGCTTTCACTGCAGCGGCCAAGGTTCGATTCCCTGTTTAGGAAATTTTTTGATTTCCGGTCAATATGGTGGATAGATTGGTTTACAGTTTTTTTAATCGTGGCAAGTTTTTTCTTCTGACAATAGTCGTTCTTTGCAATTTCCTCAATAGGTTCCTGTAAGGACATAGTTCCCTCCCTCAGCTTCTGACATGACACTGAGCCATGGATTTTATTTGGAATGCTTTTTTTTTTCCGACTATGCCCAGAGAACTGGTGGTACCTTATGCGATTAATTGCATGTGCAATTACCTATTTGTTGTAACTGCTGCTTCCATCAGTGATTAACTGCATTTCTGGTGTTGGAATGTTTGTGTTGGTATTTCTGATAGCTGTTTTTATGCATTTAATATGTGTGTATGCTATTGGATTTGCTAAGACAACAATCTGTGTAAATTTATTTCACAATAGACAGTGATGTGCATTACCTTATTTTGTTGACTCAGGAATGTATAAGCTGACCCATTGGCCATGAAATTGGAACTGAGAATATCTGATAACTTTTTTAGTAAATAGCATTCTAGTTGTCCAAACTTTAAACCGGTACTAGTGTGGTATATGATTACCCTATATTTTGCCCATTTTGATTATTTACATCCTGCCTGGGTTGGCCATTTCTTTAATGCATTGCAATGAGGCTTTGTTGTCCTCCCTTGTGTCCCTGGGCCTGTTCCATTTTTTTTAATCCATCCATCTGTTTATGAAAAATGAAACAAAATATAAATCTACTGCTAGGCCCTGGGTTCAGATCCCGACGGAGCTGGATTTTTAAAAATTACCTTAGCTCCCAGGCTGACCCAGCCTTAACTGGGACCTAGTTTTCTATATGATATATAATATTGCCTGTTATTTGTTGTAACTGCTGCTTCCATCAGTGATTAACTGCATTTCTGGTGTTGGAATGTTTGTGTTGGTATTTCTGATAGCTGTTTTTATGCATTTAATATGTGTGTATGCTATTGGATTTGCTAAGACAACAATCTGTGTAAATTTATTTCACAATAGACAGTGATGTGCATTAAGTGTAATTTTGTTGACTCAGGAATGTATAAGCTGACCCATTGGCCATGAAATTGGAACTGAGAATACCTGATAACTTTTTTAGTAAATAGCATTCTAGTTGTCCAAACTTTAAACCGGTACTAGTGTGGTATATGATATACCCTATATTTTGCCCATTTTGTATTATTTACATCCTGCCTGGGTTGGCCATTTCTTTAATGCATTGCAATGAGGCTTTGTTGTCCTCCCTTGTGTCCCTGGGCCTGTTCCATTTTTTTAAATCCATCCATCCGTTTATGAAAAATGAAACAAAATATAAATCTACTGCTAGGCCCTGGGTTCAGATCCCGACGGAGCTGGATTTTTAAAAATTACCTTAGCTCCCAGGCTGACCCAGCCTTAACTGGGACCTAGTTTTCTATATGATATATAATATTGCCTGTTTCGTATTTTTGCACCTTGCTTACTTGTCCAAACCACTTCATTTGTTGTTCTTTGATGACTTGTAAGACTGGCTTTATTCCTAGCATTTGTCTGACCACTTGTCTGACCTCCAAACCACTTCATTTGTTGTTCTTTGATGACTTGTAAGACTGGCTTTATTCTTAGCATTTGTCTAATTTTGTATTCTGTCTTTGCTTGAAACTCCTGCAGCTCTTCTAAGGCATTTCATTTCTGTTGTCCCAATTTTACGTTCATTGGAGGATTAAGATTAAGTGTCCTCGTTTGGCACTGATAACATAGTAATGGCCAAAAAATAGTTCTGATTGCCTGTATTGCTGTTTTTTCTCTCATTATGGTTCCATTGCTAAGTTTAGGTTGATACATGGTGGGGTCCCAGTTTTTTTTCACAGCAGCCAGCAATTTTCTCTATTATGTCTTGAACACACATCAATTATTGCCCCAGTCTGTTGTCCCACTGTCCGAAAGCTATCAAACCTCTTTCTTTCCAAACTGCCTCCTGCTTAAACTGAACCCTTATGAATATTGCAGATTGAATTGTGAAATTATTTCACTAACCTTCAAGCCAAAGAGCTGCACCCCTGGAAATTTAAAAAAAATGCACTTTGCTATTTGACTTTCAGGGAACGTTTAGTGATAGAATATGAGTCAAAGAGAGATCTGCTTGTTGATCTGGGATCAGACCAGACCTCGTGTCACAATCCTTTTCATGGTGGTTACTACCCGGTTCAGCTCAGCTACCAACAGTCAAGGGACATGATGCACCAAGATCCTGCCAGATTCAAAATACTTGTCCAGGAAAGGTTTGTGCACTTTTGAAAAATATTTTAATAACTGTTTTGGAACAGGAGTAGCTCAGTGACTAGATACTTGTTTTCCTGTCCAATGTTTGAATCCTTACTCAAATCTGTTTATAACAGGAATTGATTGTATGTGTGGGCAAAATAAAATCCTCACCTGCAGTCGTGGCGACAGCACTAGCCATGTGGCTTAAAACCTCGGGTTCAAAGACCCCCTGCCTACACTGCAAAAGTGGTATATAAAGGCAGTAATTGGCAGTTGTTTTTTTTAGATTGTATGTGTATAAAAAAATATATTTGTTGACATTCAGGTTTAAAAAAAATCAGTGTGTTCCTATATAATCTTTGTAGTAAATTTCCTTGTTTTTTTAACGATTGTAATATGTTCCAACATTGACATTCCTATTGTGCCACAGGAAAGTTGTATGTTCTTTAAATGTTTACTCTCCCTGTATGCGTTCTGGGGCCCTGTTTTGGAATGGGGAAAAAGAGAATAGAACTATTGCCGACTTAACAAGCATGTCCTAAAAGACGACTAATCAGGGTTGTTTCCTTCTAAATCGGAGTGTATCTGTCTGAGAATTGAGGAACTAGTTGTCTGCGTACAAGCAAGCCAGATCTGTTAAACAGATGTGCATCCAAAACACAACTTCTCGAAGTAGACCACAAGTCTAGAAGTGGAAAAACAACCAGAACTCACCTCTAAAGTTTACAGCCGGTGAATGCTAAGAAAATTTTTTTTGCTTTTCTTGGCTTCTTGGTGAGTTTGCATGCTGATTTTCTTGGCTTCTTGGTGAGTTTGCATGCACAGTGTGAGTAGAACTTTGCTGTAAATGTATAACAAAGAATTTCCTGATTTGTTGGCATTTATCTCAGACCATGTATGCTGGCGTTCCTTTTTATTTCTCTATAGCCTTTGTTGACCAATGAAAGCAGTCAACTGACTATCACTATGTTGCCAAAACAAATTGCATTCTTAAAATACAGTGCAGACCGCATAAGATGATTTTGGACGTGGGAAATTTCTGTTGTGAAGAACAATTGTTTATCCCCAGTAATTTTTTTATGCTTGAACTCTTATCTGGATAAGAGAAATTTCTAATAAGAAGAACTGTATTTACTTTACTGTAGTTGTGTGCATAAATTGTATAAGATATTGTGCTCCCTATGTATAAAATTGATCTATTGCTATTTACCACATCATCATGTACCATGCTGATAAGTGTAGGCTGTTCACCATCTCTTATGATCACCGGAATGATTGATCAGGTCAGTGTTAATGTCTCATCCTAGACTTATGATGTTATGGCTAAGCCATCAAGGTAATTTATCTCTTTTTGCCTTCCCTTTGCTTTCTTCCCATCAATCTTGCTAGTTGTTACCAAGTTCTCAAATCCATTCTTTCTCATACCAACTATGTCTTGGCTTTTCTAATCTGTTTACGGCTTTCGTTGGTCTTGAAGACTGTCTTTTTCTATCATTCCATGATGTTCTTTGCATTATTCTCAAAAACTACATCTCTGCTGGGAATAAATGTTTTTCAGCTTGTCTACTTAAATTGTTGTATCTCGCATGCATATTACAACACAGATTCTATATAGCACTTTGACACACTCTTTTTCTCACTGCGTGTGAGATATTATTGGTGGGTATTTTTTTTTTTTTTTTGCATCTTCATTGTCCGTTTTTGCCATGGTGATTTTTTTTTTTTTTTTCTGAATGAAATCTTACATCAGATGTTATGACTGTTCCAAGATGGTTTAAGAAATGCACTTATTGAAGAATATTTTCATTTGCATGTATTTCACACTTTGTTATTTCCTTCTTCTTAGCAATGACCATAATTTATTTTCTCACAGTTTAACTTTAAGGCTAGTTGCTGCCAGTGAACTGTTTATCTTATAAGATGTATAATCAGTTTTAATTGTATGCTGCAGCAACAATTAAATAAATAATATATATCTGACTAAGAAATAGCAAGATTTTCTGAATATCTTGGACAAAGAAGAGGAGAAATACTGACATCTTGAAAGAACTGAACATCAAGGAAGATTGGCTAAAAACAGCTTCCTGTCTCAGAAGCTGAAATATTTTGGTCATATCAAGCGCCACGAAAGATGAGAAAAACGCATGGTACCAGGAAGGAGGGGCAGGGGCCGACCAACATGAAGATGGGCACAGGATATAAGTGACTCCTTGAGTATGAAAGTACATGAGGCGGAAGAGCTAGCAAGAGACTGAGTTTCTTTCAGGCAAACCATGATGAGAGCGACGTTCTGCAAAGGACCTGCTACATGATGATGATGTCCTAAGAAGGTGAAATATGCAAGGCAATAAATAGTGCAATCTGTTTGTCTTTGTTCAGATTTACAATGGAGAACATTACTTAGTTTTTATTATATTTCTGTTCAGCCTTTGTCGTCAGATAAAAGCAATCAACAGACTGGCATCCAGAGGAATGTTTTTCTTTGACTACGGGAATGCTTTTCTTCTTGAAGCTAGCAGGGCAGGTATATAATGTCACTCATGTAACTTGCCATTGTTTTTATTATCAAATGCCTTTGTGAATGATGTAAAGCAGTGCCTCTTAACCTTTTTTTAGTGCCATGTCCCACCTAAGCCTTTCTGAAGTTTGTATGCCCCCCCCCCCCACCCCATGAAACTTAAACGAGTCCATTTTTAATTGCCCTCACCCCATTTTTTAACAGTTACATTGCCCCTCTGTGGGGCGGGGGCCCTACATTGTGAAACACTGATGTTAAAGGTCATTGTGAATCTTGTATAATGCTGTTTGATTTGTGTGAGATGCTGTTTTAATCACGTGAAATGCCATTGTAGTTTGTGTGAAGTACCATTTTAAACCATCTGTTAGTGAAATCATGTGAATTAACTGTTCAAGAAGGTTTAATGACAGAAAATTATACTGGGTCTTTTTATTCAAATCTGACAATTTAACTAGTTCAAAATTGAAAGGAAATTTCCAATATTCATCCCTCTTTTCAAGACTGTTGAAGATGTATTTAAAAATTAACACCCCCTTCCGTTTCTGTGGTTCTCTGTATGTTTCGTTTTTCACTTCAATGGATCTTACACTTGCTGTTGAGATTTATTTTCTTTGCAGAACTACTCTGATTTATGAAAACATGCTACTTTTTTTCATGGCATTTAATCAGTCAGCATGACCTATACAGAATGTCGCTCTCTTCACAGCATGCCTGAATGTCTCTCCCTATCAATTCTCCGGCTGCTTGTGCTTTCTTTTACAATGGATCTTCAGTGACCTGTATCCCTCTTCGTGGAAGTTGGCCTCTGGGTCATTTTCCAGAAACTGCACTCCCAATCACCTTTCTCTCCAGACCGTGGCGGTCATTAAAAAATATGAACAATTTATAACTTGATCTTTAGAGCCATTTAAAAATTATCCCAGGCCGCTTTGTGATCTCAAAATAGTGGATCATTTTTCAGCCTGACCTAGAGTATCCCTCTAGCTTCGTGTCCCTAAGCTTCTTGGCCTCTGGGTCATTTTTACACCCATGTGCATGTTGATACTGCACTCCCCAATCACCTTACTGACTACTCTCCATCATATTTTATTTTTGTTCAGAATTCTACATTCATCTGCTAGTTCACGACTGTGAATCACATCACTGTGAAATCACCATTTTTTTAAATCTATTTTTTTTAACCACAGAGAATATCTTTAAAAATGCTTTTAGCAACATATACCCATCATGTCTACACAATATGCAGTAAAGGTAAAGTCGGGAGATGTGAACCAGCGTCATTGCACATGGTTATAAACCATAAGTGGCTCTGCCACCAGTACGGATAGCTGATGAGAATTGTTCATTAAAAAAAATAAACTACATGACTTTATCCATTTACCCCTTGATCTTTAGACCGTGGCTGCAGCGATTTAAAAGCTTCTTATCGACAACCGTTACCAAAACTGTCACACTACTGTGATCTCAGGCATGGTCGTTGCATTATCTCGAGTGCTAGAGGTCTGTGGCATTTGGTAACAGAGCATTTTTTGGTGTGGGTCAGATGGCCATCTCATCTGTTGATTCATTACAATACAATATCTCTCTCCCCCCCCCCTCCCTCTCTCTCCCTCTCCCCCCCCCTCTCTCTCTCTCTCTCTCTTTACTGGCTTATTGCTCACCAATCATTACACAAAGCACAACTTATTATCACTAAGGATCTCTGGAACACTCATGCATTGGAAGCAAACATCAGTCTCTTCTTCTTCGCATTCACTGGCTGTAAACTATGGCAGAAAATACTGGTTATTTATCCACTTCTGACTTTTGACTTGTTATTCTTCTTCTTCTTCGCGTTCACCAGCTGTAAACTGGTGGAATGTTCTAGTTGTTCATCCACTTTTGGACTGCAGTCCTGTTCCAGAACCTGAGTGTTGCATTTGCATTTGTTTTTTAGATCTCACTCATTTGTATGCAGACTGCTGGTTCCTTGCCTCTCAGGCAAATGCACTTGGACTCTGAAGGAAGTTCTTAATTAGTTGACTCTTATGACATGCTTTTAGGTAGGCAGTGGGTCTGTTCTTGTTTTCAAGAAACCTTGTTCCAAAACTTGAGATTTGTGCGCAAAGTCATTTTTCAGATTTGGCTTATGGTATGCAAACTGCTTGTTGCTCCCTCTCAGGCATGGTCACTCTAACTTTGAAAGAGACACCCTTAATTAGTCACTTCAATGGCATGCTTATAAAGTGACTGTAGGTCTCTTCTTTTCCACCAAAAAATGAGACCTCTCCAGTGGAGAGATCAGAGTCTGAAATTAAATGTACAAAACTCAGAGCGTGAGACAATCGGTTAAGCAATTTTGCCATTTTTAGACACCCCCACCCCCCACCACATACACACACATATTTCTCCTTCTGTGGCTTGGGTACTTTAATTATCTGGCCATGATGTCATTAAAATTTGAATTCTTGTCATAAAATGCAGGTGCAGATGTTGGTCGGCAGGAGGGCTTTCATGGGACAACTTTCAGATACCCATCATATGTACAGGACATTATGGGAGATATCTTCTCTCTGGGATTTGGACCGTTCAGGTAATTAGTGTAGCTGAAAAGTAAATAACATCCTCGTCATGTAACAGGTCCTTCGCAGAATGTTCTTTGCCAATTCTACCCCTTTCTTCTATACTTTATCTCCCCCCCCCCCCCTTCACAACAAGTGGATTAGAGGCCTTCAACTATCTCATGCCAGGTCATCATTTCCTTTGCCAACGCAGCTCACCTCATGTTCTCCCCGTTTGTCATCAACAGTTCTCCATGTGTTTTTGGTCTGCCTTTACTCCTTTCACTTTGTGGGTTCCAGTGCAAAGACATTCTAGTTATATTATTAGCAAGTTTATTAGTGTGTGTCCTGTCCAACTCCAGCATCTTTTTTTTTTTTATTTACTGAAATCGGTTTAGTTCTTTGAAAGCTCTACAGCAGTGACTATACCATACCATTTAATACTCTCGTTCTGTGCAGACACTAGTTAATGTTTATAGTTTATTAGTAATTGCTTTAATTTTCTCCATATTTTACTTGCATACAACAGTTCGTTGAGTATCCTTTACAGGACGTTGCAGAGCCAACCCCAGCTTTTTTGTGTGTGTGTGTGGCTGTTGTGGTTTTTTCTAGGCAAATTTTATGTTCAGTTTGTTTGCCATTTCTTACTGAATGGTCAGCTCTTGGTATCACTCTGGAACCAACGCAAGAAAAATTGTCTACAGCTGGGATTGAACCCAACACCCCGTTGGCATTACAAAGTGCTTTTGCAATGCCTAAGCCACAGATGCCAATCCATACAACAGTAACCCTTGCTAAGTCTCCGGTCCCATTTACTGTTATTTATAAATCACCACGGCATTTAACTCTTTTAATCCCAAGCAATCATTATTTCATTTTACCCCAAAGTGTTTAGATTAAAAGCAATAAATAATTTGGCCCTAAGGAGTTCAGCATAGACACTATAAGACATAAGAAGTTAACACTAATAATCTAGACAATTAAGATTGATAAAAAAAATTTATATGACAGAAGATGGCTGGTAAATTGGTCTTATTTTTGGAATGATCCAGAAATGCACTGTAAGTCGTTTGGGACTAAAAGAATTAATATTGCCACATTCTGCAAGGAAAATTTGAGCTCTGGGTCAAGAAAAGATTTTGTCTACCAACCCGACTTTGTGAGATGGTGTAATTGTGGAGAGGGAACCTGATTGATTGATTAGTATATTTTGTCCAGTTTACTTAGTATTAGCATATTTTGTCTAGTTTACTTAGGATTAGCATATTTTGTCCAGTTTACTTGTGATTAGCATATTTTGTTCAGTTTACTTAGAATTAGCATATTTTGTCCAGTTTACTTGGGATTAGCATATTTTGTCCAGTTTACTTGGGATTAGCATATTTTGTTCAGTTTACTTAGAATTAGCATATTTTGTCTAGTTTACTTGGGATTAGCATATTTTGTCCAGTTTACTTGGGTTTAGCATAATTTTTCCAGTTAACTTAATATTAGCTTTTTTGTCCAGTTTACTTGGTTTTTGTGATAAAGTAAACTTGTAAACAATGAAAACTTTCATCTACTATTTTGAAATAATATACTTCTGCTCTAACAACTATTGAATGTATTATAGATGGGTGTGTACATCAACTGATCCCAGTGACTTGGCAAAGACAGATGAGATTGCAGCTACAATTGTTGAAGACCTTGCTAAACAGAAAGGTAAGAAAAGAGCTTCTTGTTCATCAACATATATCTAAGCGATGTAATTGTGTTGTGCTTGTTTACAGCATAGCTGCTGTATTGCTGTCTTTCTGCCGACACATCTGACTTTCTTGGGCATTAGTTTAACAGGTTGGAGATAATAGTTTCTGATCTTGAAATAAAGTTATTAACTCTTACCTCTTACCTCAACTCATTATAACCTAAAGAGTTGTTGCTCTAATTCATCTTAACATCGGTATGAATAAGTTAATAACACCTTAAGACAGAAAGCGTTAAAGAACCTGGATGGGACACATAGAGCTAGGGTGAAAAAAAGACAATTGTGTGTAATTTCCACAGTGAAGTTTGGCTACATGGTACCAGGGCTATTCTTGGGAATATTACACGCCAAGGCCTAGTCTTTTCCATGACATGACTCATACAAAAGAGATCTTTAAAAAAAACGTCCAATGCGGGATATCAAAGTTAGGTGTTTTTGTTTAACATACATAGGGCTCCCAGGTCGACCCAGTCTACAAAATGGTACCGGAAGTGTTCTGGGAAGTGTTGGGGGGGGGGGGGGGTGTGGGTTCTTTGTATTTACTATATCACTTGTGAAGGGCTCTCTGTTCTATAAAAAAAGCTAGCACCATGTACACAGTAGACCTTTTGGGTAAAAAATGGTACCCAAAAGATATTCTACTGTATCTTTACTTTCAGTACCAACCCTAAACAGCCTGTTTCTCTCAAAAGGATTCATATATGATAAATTTTTTTTTTAAAGTGAAGCACCCTCTTCCAGGTGTCATGAGCCTGTGTGGCTATGGGATGACTAAAGATGATGATAGTGAACAACAGACCAGCACTTAGTTGACTGCTTAGCGACTACGTGTTCAACAGCCCACAGGAGTTTCCGACAAGAGCATGGTGATGGATGAGGGAAGACTCCAGGGTTCATTGTGAGTTTGCTGACACCACAGTGAATGTGGACTGGACAAAACGGAGAGAGTGAAAAGTTTTCGGGGAATTGTGCAGAGAGACGAGGATGGTGACCGAAACATGTTGTTTTGACAGGCAGGATTTTCTTAATTAAATTAGCAACACAGCAACAGTTTAGGAAATTGTTTGTTACTACGTGTTAGGGTGTTATAATTTAGGGTGATTAGAAATAGATAGTTGAACTTGGTGTTCTGTAAAGATCAGTGATTAGAGTTAGTTGGTGAAGTACTGTTCACCCGATTAGTAATCTGCATATTAGTGAAATGGTTTGAAAAGGGACTTTGTCAGTATAAGAAGAAGAACATAATGATGTCATGGGCACTGTATTCAGGCGGGACTTCCAGCCTAAAATGGCAGAGGCATGGCAGAATGTTACGCTTCGGGTTTTTTTTTCCCCCTCCTACACCGCTTTGCTTGTGCAATTTTCACATGTAGATGGTAATCTACGGTTTTGCTGCCTGAGCTACTGACATCTTTAGGTGTCCTGCCACCATACAGTGAGTCCCAAACAATTAATTTACACATGAATAGACACTCTAGATGCAGAATATTGTTGATATTTTGGAGCAACCTAGCAGCCAAAAAATGGCCACAATTGAGAGTTTTCCACAGTCGCGCACCTGTCGGGTTTTGCCAAAATTGACATTTTCCAAAAGTTAAAAATTTTGTCTGATATTGTAATTTCACTCATTAATGGATAATCTAGATGAGTATTTGGACATTATGGAGCACATTAAAAAGTAAAAAAAAAAAAAAAGCACAGTACCCTATTCCACGCCTTTAGGCGTATAGGGCTAGACCTATATTTTATGTACTAATCGGCACAAGATGGGTGATGTGGTCAGCATCACGCCGGCCGCCTCTGCTTCCCGGGACTGCACCCAGTACCCACTCAAGGCTGGGTCAACCTGAGAGCCAAGGCCATTTTTGAAAAAAGTCCGGCTGCGCCAGGGAGTGAACCCACATCCTTCCGAACCGTGGTGAGTGTCTAGCCACTCTGCCACAACGACTACCTCGGAGCACATTGGTGGTAAATAAATTGACGCAAATAAAGTGAAAAACACAGATTCTTCTCTGAAATTTTACCAACTTTAGGTGTTTTACTAATATACAGTGAGTCCCAAACATTTACTTCACACATGAAAAAACAGTCTAGATGCAGAGTAGGTAACCCGGATGTGTAATTTAACATTTTGGAGCAGACTGGGGCAAATATGGAGAATGAGGATGCTGGTTCACAGTGAGGATTATAGCGAATGTGTGCATCATCATCATCATCCTGTTTTGTCAATAACACATCACATAAGGCTTGCATTTTAAAGGTTTGCATTCTATTCCTTCATTCTGTTCTGTCCTGCTCGGTCTTTTTTATATTAGTGATACTTGCCTTTCTCATCGGTGTTCATATTAGGGTTTCTACTGGGTATCATTCTTTTATCTGTCTATATTTTTGCAACAAGTACAGTATAACTACAGTGATGTTCACAGTTTCCTTGCTTAAGCTTTGCTTTGTTGCTTTAAATATCTGTCAGCTTTGTGTATTATGTTTTCACTGTATTTTGTAATGCGTTCACTAGAAATAATACTTTGAGTATAATTTTTTTGTGTTCACTACAAATAATTGTTTCAATACAGAGCAATATACATAATATAAATATGTATATATGTGTGTGTGTATGTATGTATGTGTGTGTTTATGTATGTATGTGCATGTGCGCATGCGTGCGTATGTATGTATGTATGTATGTATGTATGTATGTATGTATGTATGTATGTATGTATGTATGTATGTATGTATGTATGTATGTATTTATGTATGTATGTATGTATGTATGTATGTATGTATGTATGTATGTATGTATGTATGTATGTATGTATGTATGTATGTATGTATGTATGTATGTATGTATGTATGTATGTATGTATGTATGTATGTATGTATGTATGTATGTATGTATGTATGTATGTATGTATGTATGTATGTATGTATGTATGTATGTATGTATGTATGTATGTATGTATGTATGTATGTATGTATGTATGTATGTATGTATGTATGTATGTATGTATGTATGTATGTATGTATGTATGTATGTATGTATGTATGTATGTATGTATGTATGTATGTATGTATGTATGTATGTATGTATGTATGTATGTATGTATGTATGTATGTATGTATGTATGTATGTATGTATGTATGTATGTATGTATGTATGTATGTATGTATGTATGTATGTATGTATGTATGTATGTATGTATGTATGTATGTATGTATGTATGTATGTATGTATGTATGTATGTATGTATGTATGTATGTATGTATGTATGTATGTATGTATGTATGTATGTATGTATGTATGTTTGAATGTATGTGTGTGTACGCACATGTGTTGTGTGTGTGTATGTTTGTGTGTGTTTGTGTGTGTTGCATGTATGTTTGTGTTTACCATCCATGCTTTTGTAGGGTTTTTTAACTTGATATTTATGTTATGTATATAATTGGATTTCTCTGTACATAAGCAGTTATTTGTTCATACGTACATACATTCGTATGTAAGTAAAAGTAAAGTAAAGGACCCTTTTCCACGCCTTTAGGCGTATAGAGCATATAGGGCTAGACCTATATTTTTATAGACCAATCGGCACAAGATGGGTGATGTGGTCAGCATCACGCCGGCCGCCTTTACTTTCCCGGGACTGCACCCGGTACCCACTCAAGGCTGGGTCGACCTGGGAGCCAAGGTCATTTTTGAAATAAGTCCGGCTCCGCCAGGGAGCGAACCCACGACCTTTCGATCCGCGGCGAGCGTCTAGCCGTTCGGCCACGGCGACTCCCCACATTCGTATGTGATTGGCACCTTCCTGATTTTCCAGACGATAGTATTATATTGATTTATGAGAAAGCATGGGACTCACAGCCCATGGCTATGGCGAGTGTGACTAGCAAAACCCACCCGCGTTAAGAAAAATCTTTCAAAATTATAGCATGAGATTTCAGAACCGTTGTTGTCAACATGTGTATTTAGTCTGTTTTCTCTCGGATGCTTAGCTCTCATCCTTTCTGCAATAATTTGTTCCTTAATTTTTATTTCCTTCCTTGTGTGCCCCTTCACACAACATGTTCCATTACATTTTGTTGCCATGAGTTCACATCAGTACCTGTTTTATCCATGTCCCGCTTGCACACATCTTTATATCATAGTAGAGGTCAGCCTCAACATCTTCTACCCGCCTTTAATTCACCATAGAGGATGTCTTAGGGACTCTGCCATCCTCCATTCTACAGGTATGACCCTGCCACCTGAGCCTTCGTAGACTGAGCACTGAGAAGACTGTTGCAGTACCTGCTCTTTTCACTACATCAGTGTTTGTGATCTTGTCCTGCCACTTAATGCCAAGTATTCTTCTTAGGCATCACACGTGAAAGCTATTTAGCTGTTTCTCTTGGTTTTGAATTGATGTATGACAAGTTAGATATTGTGAGGGCCCTTTGGGAGCTAGTGAACAGAGGCACAGATAGATCATTACTATCTGAGGAGAATGGCGCTGGGAGGAGTTACCAGGGGATCTGGCTGACGCTCAACACTCAGGGGAAGGATGAGACGGATATACAACAATCAGACAGTTTCTGGTACTATCGAAGTTGGAACTCTTCGCTTGCTGATGAAGATGGGTACTAAGCACTTGTGGGAGTGTCTTGTGTGCTGTGATGTTGATTCCTAATTCAACATTCCTAGTGCGAATAAGTCTAACAAGTAGCACTGCCGTAAAGCAGAGTTCTGAGAACATAAGACTGATAGACTTTGCTTACTAGATATGTTTTAGTTACAGTCTTGTAGGGAATAAAAAATTGTGGATTTTTCTGTATACATTAAATTGTTATTGTTAGCCTTAATGTTGACAATAGTTTGGTATCTTTTGTAGCACCTCAGGGAGTCAAGCAGCAGTATGAAGACAATGCCAAGTGGATTAGAGAAGCAGATCAACATAAAATGGTACATGTGACCACTTAGATCAATTCTTATAGTGGCTGATAATGCCCTCTGGAGATGCAAGGGAAAGGGTGGATATTGAAATGATCCAGGGAAGCTGTGGTGGCAACTAATGCATATGGGGTGTTGGGGAGGGGGGGGGGGGGGGTTGAGTAAAGAAGCGGTAAAGGCTTTACAAAACAGAAATGAAAAGAACACAATCTTTAAAAAGCTGTTCATACCTATTTAGATTTGGGGAGAGGGGGGGGGGGGGGGAACAGAGAAACTCACATTGTTGACAATTGTCCATATTTATTACTGCATCTTTCTAGAAAGGGGGTAAGAGCATTGGGTAAATTTTGTTTGTTTATTGAAAATGGGGCACTAGACCAAATAAGTTTGAGAATCTGTGGTGAAGATCTTGTATCACACAATTTTGATATTTCTTCTGTTTTGGGGTTGTTGTTTTTCTTTTGGTGGCCGTTGCTGATTACTAATTAAGAATCAACATCATAGCACACCAGGGGAAGGGAACAACATAAACATGCAAAATAAAAAGATATTTAGGCCAGAGCCTTTCTCTGCATAAATCACACAACAGGGGGCAGATTATCACTTTCTGAATATTCAGTAGTAGTCTTATTGCTTCCTTGAAGTCAGTCTTGAAGAATTCCATCTATGTGATACTCTGCAGCACTAGCAAGATCTTAGAAGTAAATTCACTTGAATCCACACATAAAATCCATGTAGATACAGCCAGGGCTTTATTTTATTTAGAAAAAAGTATGACAATACTTACCAAAAAGAGTCTAGAAAAATAACAAAGGTGTCAGTAACCCACTACAAGGTGCCTGTTACTGTAACAATGAATAAATGAGGCCAGAAAAAAGTGCCAGTACTACATACCTCATGAAAAAAACAGCCCTGGATAGAGTGACCTACTTGATACACTTTGCAGCTGACGGGGATGTTTAGTGTATCAACACTTTTACACATCATTTTTTTTTTCAATTCTGTGGTACAAGTCTTAAAAGTTACTCCACTACCCATAGACAAAAATGAAATTTTGGAATCGCCAGGTTGTTCTGATGTTAACTATCATAAAAATATTATCCTTGCCTGGATTTAGCTCTTTACAAGTTAAAGTCAGGCATATTAGCTCTAAATAACTCTGGAGTCCCAATTTTAAAGGGACATTCTGAATCTAAAACTCATCTACATTCCTTGAATCTTTTATTTGCAAACAGGTTGTAGGTTCTCAAGCCAGAATTCTCTATTCTGACCAAGAAGGAAGGATTGCAATTGCTTTGGCATTCAACAAAGCTGTGGCTGAAAAACATCTTCAAGTAAATTTACATTATTTCAGAAAACTAGATCACTTAAAGATTGACATTAATATCATTAGCAAATGTTAGAAGTGAGTCGCCATGGCCGAGCGGCTAGATGCTCATCGCCGATCAGAAGGTCGTGGGTTCGCTCCCTGGCGGAGCCGGACTTTTTCCCAAAATGAATTTGGCTCCCAGGTCGAACCAGCCTTGAGTGGGTACTAGGTGCAGTCCCGGTAAGTAAAGGCGGCCGGTGTGATGCTGACCACATCACCAATCTTGTGCCGATTGGTCTATAAAAATAATGGTCTAGCCCTATTTGCCCTATACACCTAAAGGCGTGGAAAAGAATCCTTTTCTTTACTTTTTTAATGTTTGAAAATATGATTGGTAAATGTGATATATATATATATATATATATATATATATATATATATAAAACAAACATGTATTGATCTGCACTCATTGCAAAAAGTAGAAAGATAGAAGGATACACTAGACAATATGACATTCAAAAGCTATGGTTTCTGAGCTGGGAATTGAAACTGTTACCTCCAAATGATGAATGTGCCTCACTTGCAGAAACAAGTGTGCTAAGATGCGTGACCAACTAGTCACATCTTAAAAAGGTGTCTTCATTAGCGATCTATGGTGTACAGCTTGTATCCAGAACTATGGATTACGGACAGAATTCATTTTAAACCACTGAAATGACACTATAGGTTACAGAAATGTTTATTAACAAAGCATAGGCCGGATAAACACACCAGACTGTAATGTTCTGTCCAGAATTCAACAAAAATTTAAGAAATATTTGATTGGTTGGTTTCATTGTATTGCACTTAATATTCAGATATAAACAGATGGGAACCCTTGAGGTCATTGAAACATTATGTGTGTGTGTGTGTACATATACTAAACAAACAGACATATATTACTCTGCTAAAAAAACATGGAGTCTCGGAACCCACACGAAAATGTGAATCTCTTTATTTAGCTCTTTAAAAGATCACTTTGTTATCTTAAATAAGTTGCTAAAATTTCATTCTTTCTGGAAATATGTTAATAAATACCTTCTTTGTGGGTTCTAGTGCCCCTTTAGGTAGAAAAAAACAAGGGGGGAGGGGGATAGACTCCTAAACAGCACGAGATAATGATGATCAAAGAATTTACATGAAGTATTTATTAGAACTGAAATGCTATAGAAAGATTCTCAGAATATCTTGGACAAAGAAAAGGAGAAATGCTGACATCTTGAAAGATCTTAACATCAAGGAAGATTGGCTAATAAACAGCATCCTGTCTCGGAAGCTGAAATATTTTGGTCATATCAAGCGCCACGACGGATTAGAAGAAATTATAGCAGAAAGCATGGTACCAGGAAGGAGGGGCAGTGGCCGACCGACACGAAGATAAGCACAGGATATAAGTGACTCCTTGAGTATGAAAGTACATGAGGCGGGAGAACTGGCGAGAGACCGAGTTTCTTTCAGGCAGACTGTGATAAGAGTGACGTTCTGCAAAGGACCTGCTACATGATGATGATGATTTATTAGAAATTGCCAACATTCCACTCCAATTTATATGAAAAGATTATTAATTTCAAATGTCTGAATGAATTAATAAGCTAACAAATAGATGTTGTGCTAGTGAGTGAGTAATTGAAAGTTGGTGAGTGTGTGAACTATTTAACTCTTTCAGTACCATGTAAAACAACACATCATACATATTTTGGTCACTCATAATGTTGGTGCAGTCTTCTGCCACAAACAGTCACTAAATTAACTTTTTGTATTTGAATCATTAGTTGAACTACTTCTACCCCATGGTGTCTGTGTTGAACTTCTTCAGTCCAAAATATTTATTGTTTTTAACCTCTGCTCCTTGGGACAGAGGGAGTCAGAGTATCAGCTGATTGGGACCAAAAGAATTAGTCTTTTTTTTTAAAAAGATGCACAATTTTAGTCAAATATTTGTGTTTAGACAACATGCAGTTCTTGATAACCTAAAGACTGGAAATGAATTGCTAAACAAGTAAAACCTCTAAAAGGTGATATTTTTATATTTTATCTTGTAGAGTCCAGTAGTCATCAGCAGAGACCATCATGATGTCAGTGGCACAGACAGTCCGTACAGAGAAACTTCAAATATCTATGATGGCTCAACCTTTTGTGCAGGTATGTGATGACATCGTTGCCAAATTAAAACTTTGATTTCAAATCAAACATTTTTAATAATCATCATCCTTCATCTGGGTAAAGATTCTACATCAAAACATTCAGGATAGCAGACGAACGAACAAACTTTGCTTTATAAGGGCCACAAATTAGGCATGCAGGCCTGTTTACATTTGGCCCTTCGAAACACCATCTTTCACACAGCAATCGTATTTTATCAATAAAGCATGTCATTTTCATATAATAATATGCATATTATGAATATCAAGACAAAACACAAAAGTATTGGTGTTTAAATGCATGTGCATACTCGGGCATGTTCACACCTCCCCTCCCCACCTACACACACCCATCCACTCACTCAATTACATTCACATCAACATACAAAAATTCATACATATACACACACTCATACATATACATTCACACACACATGCACGCACACACACAAATATTACAAACATTACATGCATTACATACATACATACATACATACAGGCATCCATGCCTACAGACACATACAGGCCACACAGACAGACATACACACAGTCACACACGGATAGACATACACACAGACATACATACACACAGACATGCAGATAGACACACACAAGCACACACAGACATTTTCACCGTCACACATGCAGACACAGACACGCCCACATACAGAGACACACACACACACACACAGACATACACACACACACACATCAGCTGTTTCACTTCGCAACAGCCAACAAAGTCTCCATACTAATGGTCTCTGTTGTCATCTGGTTAACTAGTCGTCTTGCCTTTTCCCCCCAAGTCTTCGTTGGCATCCAGAGCAAGCAGACATCATTCTTCCACCTATTTGAAAATGTCTTCTGTGTATAACTTGAAGAAGTTTGGTGATAACACCCATTCCAGTTATACTTCTCTTTTCATCTCTGTGTGTGAAGATTAAATCTTGTCAATCTAACTGTTGCTTTTTGTCCCCAATATAGGTTACTAGGAACAGTAAAAAGAATTAGATCTATGACAGTTATCAGAATGTTGATTAGCGGCCTTTTTGAAGTGACATTATTTAAAGAAATTAATAATCAAAATAGAGTATAATTGCTTTAAAAAACTGTCCCAAAATTTTTTATTTTTAAAGCCCCACCCAAGCTGTTGTTGGGGGCCCTAAAATAACCTAATTGTTGAACAGGATTTCTGGGATTTATGCTCGGGTGATTTGCATCCGATTGGTGGCACTTTGTGTCAGTGGGTGTTTGTCGTTCATTGTGCCGTCCTGGTAAGGTTGTGTCTCTCTCTCCCTCCCTCCCTCTCTCTTTCCCTTCTCTCCCCCCCCCCTCTCTCTCTCTCTCTCTCTCTCTCTCTCTCACACACACACACACACAAGCACACAGAAAATGTAATACGGAAGCAATGAAGTGAGGTATGTTGACGAAAAGAGCACCCCATGTGGGTTCCAGGGTCCAGTTTTTTGGGGAGGCAAACAAGAATAGACCCTTTTCCCCCTTAACAAGCATGTCACAAAAGGCAGTTAAATTAAGAGGCAAATAATTATAAAACCACTGCCCCCTAATAAGCATATCGTAAAATGTTACTAATTGATGTTTTCCTAAAATCATATTCATTTCAGCCTTGCTGTAAACCACATCACAAGGATAAAACTGCCATTAAAGAGCAAGCAAAGAAGACCAAAAAAGACCTTTGCGTAGGCATAGTAAGGGATGGTGTGCTGTGTGTGTGTCTCTGTGTGGGCAAGTAGGATCAATTATGCCTAGCCAATAACTCATGTGATTGACATGTTTCAGATATGGCAATACAGAATGTCATAGGGGATAGCTTCAGGGGAGCTTCCTGGGTGGCTATTCACAATGGAGGAGGTGTTGGCTGGTAAGTATATTGTATGTGGTATTCCCTTTCAAGGAGCGACTGGTCGAAGAGGAGCGACTGGCCGAATGGTTAAGAATGTTTGGCTGTCATGCTGGAAATCCAGGTTTTAATTCTCTGTAAGGTTGTGGGTTTTTTCTGTCGGGGACAAAAATAAAATCCTAACCAGCACACTCTGTGGTGATTGCTCTAGCCGCACAGCCTTAAATCCTCAGGGCCAGAGACCCCCTGCCTACAGCACAAAAGTGGTAATTACAGGTAGTGATGGCAGTTAATCCTTTGCTTACGGCTTGTTTGTTGTGTAGTATGAGACTTTTTTATAATACTAATCAGTGCAAAATCATTACAGACATGAAATGCCTTAGAAAAGCAACCAGAGTAACAAAAAGAAATAAAGTTAAAAATGAAGAAATTCGAAACTAAAGATTGGAACTAAAACCAGTACTGAGAATGACCAGGTACCAACTGCCACAGAGAGCCATGCTTGAGAAATATAATGGACACAGAACAAGGGGAAGAAAGACCAAGCAGAATATGGAAAAACGGCATCAATTACAGCCTTAAAGAATAAAGATTAACTTATACAATGCGTCGGCTCTGTGGCTAAGTCGATGCGAACACTTCGCTTCGTAATGCCGGGATGCCGGGTTCGATCCCAGCTGCGGGCAATGCGCCTTGCGTTGGTTTCGACAGTGGTATCAAGAAAGCCGACCGTCCAGAAAGCAATGGCAAACTACTGGACGTAATTTTGCCTAGAGAAACCACACAACAGCCAGGGGCTGTTAGGGTTGGTTCTGCAACGTCCTGTAAAGGATACGCAACAACCTTTTTTTTATACAATGCATCAACAAGAACACAGGGAAGATCCTTACATCTTCCCCACCAATTTGATGAAGTAACTGAAAGAAGTGAAGAAGAAGGAGACCTTCAGACCTGTGTATTTCAAGCATCTCAATTTCTTCTCCAAACAGGGGAGAGGTTATCAATGGTGGCTTTGGGCTTGTACTGGATGGGTCAGAGGTAAGAAATTTATATGATCAAGTCTGCCTCTCATAAGTAACATCTTTCTTGTCAAAGGTATGGATATCGTTTGTCTCCTGTAGCACTTTTAGATGGATCCTTTAGTTGTCCAAGATGTTTATAGCATCCTTCGAATAAATCATCTTTTAGTGGCTTTTAGCTAAATTGTGATATGTGTATACAGGATTTACTGGGAATGATTCACTAAAGCTTACAAAAAATGGGCTATAGTTGCTATATTAAAGTCTTGCAGTCAACAATAATTAGGAATATAATGTTGATTTATTATCACTAGAGCAAATTATTATTCTACGCCCTAGAACAGGACACAATAAACTTCACAGCCACATGTACAGAAAATTTAAAATCGGTGAAACAGCCATGTGCATATGTGGATTGGCACCTGAGACAACAGATCATGTCCTCCAAGACTGTCCCAAATACAACATATCAAGGCAAAACTTTTGACCAAGAGAGACATCGGTGCAACTCATACTTTACCGGTCGCTGAGTGAATTACAAAAGACAGTGAAGTTCATACTAGAGACAACATTGCAGATATAGATAATTTATTTCAAACGAATGAAAGATGTAGAGCGAGAATTTCACCATCATGTATCTATCTCGTAACAAGTGTTGAAGCTATCAGATTATCATAAATTGTTGCATAAAAGTTGACAGCAAGATTTTTAGCTCAGAATTATGAGCTAGGCCTATACCTATCTAATGCATTTCTCTTTTACCTGCCAATAATTCGAGCCCTAGTTTTGAAAAAGCTTTGTAAGGCTTGGAAACTCAGTTTATTTGTCACAATTTATGGTAAGACAGTTTTTTTTAATTTAATTAAAAGCTTTAACTCCAACATCTTTTCTGTTCGCAGGAAGCAGGAAAGAGAGTGCAAGAGATGCTTTCATGGGATGTCAGTAATGGGGTATGTATCAGCCATTCAAATATCAGAGCATTATCCGTTTACCAGTTTTGCTGTATAAGGAAATTATATAAAACGCTATTTATTAATTATCAGCATTGGAATGGTTCCCCTGGTGGGCACTATTTTGGAGGTTGGTTAATTGCATATCCTCTACAAGACGTTACAGAACCAACCCTAACAGCGACTGGCTGTTGTGTGGTTTTTCTAGACAAATTTACGTCAAGAAGTTTGCCATTGCTTCTAAACGGTCGGCTTTCTTGATACCAGTCGAAACCAACGCAAGGCGCATGGCCCGCAGCTGGGATCGAACCCAGCATCCTGGCATTACGAAGTGTTCGCATCGACTTAGCCACAGAGCCAACTACTATTTTGGAGAGAAAAATAAAATAGAAGATCCAGTATTCCTTTGCTGCAAATCATAACACAGTATGCCAGGGTGAATGTCTGAAGAGGAAAGGTGACAAGGGAGGAACTTACCCATCCCACATCATGTGTCATGACCTAGAATACATGAAGATCTAACACTTCCTACCCCAATGGCATTATCTGCAAGAGACTACCTTTACCCTTTTATTCTTCTTCTGCCATCTATTCCCTAATGTGCAAAGGCCATCAACCAACTCACGCAAAGTCGTTCTGTCTTTTGCTGTTGCACAACGCTCAACTCATGTTCTCCCCATCTTTTTAACTTTACTCTCTAACTCCTTTCTCCATGTGTGACTGTGTGTATTTTTGTTTGTGGTGGGGGGGGGGGGGGGGGGCTTCTTTTATTTATATGCTCCTGTGGGTCCCAGTGCAAAGACATTCTAGTTATTGTTTTCAGGTTTTTTTTTTTTCTTCAACATGTGTCCTATCCAGTGCTTTCTATTATTCATTAGCCCACTATAAAATATGAAATTTTTATTTCTACTGTTGTTCCCACTCTAAATTATATTAAATGTATTTGCAATTCATGCCTTTTGTCTTGTTCAGGCTATATGGCTATTTATATATTTATATATAAGGGCACTTTTTATTCTTATTTTTCTATATATTATCACCAACCTTGTTCCATTTTATAGTCCATAAAGAATATATACACACACTTAAGCAAATTTAAGAATGTGCCATGTGAGATTGAATTTTTGGAAGAGATTGAAGATAGTGGGAAGAAGAAAGCGGATATTAGCTTGGGAATTTGGTATTCCAAATTCGAAGCTTTCTGGCATCTTGAAGCATAAGGAATGCTACAGAACATTGTTTTTCTAGTGTAAAATCAACAGTGACAGACAGCGAGCTAGAACAGTGACATGCAATTTTGTTGATGCTGCCTTTTTAAAATGTGTGTGCTGTCTGGATAAGTAAAAGTCCCGATCAGTGAAAGCATTTTCTTAGGTCCCTGCGGCTTCTACTTATCCAGACTCGACTGTATCTCTTCTGTTAGGAAATTGAATTGTTAATTTTGACAACCATATCTGTTACAACATAGGTTTCTCGACGTTGCTGGGCAGGAAACCACAATGCTAAAATCACCATACAGCGTACAATGGACGCCAACCCCAAGTTGAAAGTTACTATGCCATATAACATAGAAGATGACACGTTGCTGGACAGAGCACTGAATCCAAGCTTCTAAAATATCTGCAGGGATTCTAAACTGTGTTTGCAATTAGTGTATGCAAAACATCTGCAGATGATTCATGACTCATTCTATGCCAAACAAAACACTCACAGACTGTAACATAGAATCCTTAGCTCACTGTATGTCACAGGGAACACACACTGATAGTAACACAGGATCATTACACGATTATTAAATCATTCTGTACCAAACTGTATAAATTGGATTGAGATCCCCTCCCCATTCTATATTAAGGAAAATCAGGCTGGTCCATTGATCCATCATTTATAAACCAAACTGTCAATCTAAAGCAGCGTTGGATTGAGATTTCCTTGTGCCGATTTTATACTAAGAAATGTTAATTGCACCAAAACTAGTGGCTTGGAGCGGTTCTCTAGTACCCCATTGGCAAGGATCTGGTATTTATACAAACTACAAACAAATTTATCAGCATATATATATAAACATCTACTATGCGTGTGCAGCGTTGTCTAGATGTATGTATATGTATTGTGGTCTGATTTCCTTGTGCCATATCACATTTATATACACATACAAACGCCCTATTCAGCTCCCAGAAATGTCATAACTAGCCTGCTGGCTTCAGAAAACTGCTCTAGTGGACTTTGGAGATTCGCAGTTCTTCTGTCTGCTTTCTAGTGAGACTTTTGTTGGCAAGGATTTTCTCAGATGAGATACATTTTTTGTAACCGTACCTTGTCACATCTAGACTATACATGTATTTACATTACCACACACAGAAACATGATTAGTATACTAATCACCATATACTGTGCTTGGTTTCTACAAATCTGATTCATTAGTATTTGCTTATACACTTTGCAAAATGTCGTGATTTCGTTTGTCTCAGAGAAACATTTGTAATTATATATTTCCTATTGTACCCTGTTTGTAGAGTATTTTATTTACATTATTTTTCCCACTTGAATAATTATGTAACTGGGTAAACTAAACAAATTGAAGCACAAAACTGTTGGCTTTGAGTATTTATTATCACTATCATATTACACTCTACGCCTTCACGGCATGGCAATAGCCAGTGGCAGCCAACGTGCACTGGATCGCAAATTATTCCTCTCCACGGCGCTTAACGGCAGAAGTGGTTTATGACGATGATGATGATGATCGTCAGTTTCCAGTTGTGCCATACATATCTTGGGAAGAAATGGTTGTCCAGCACTTGATGAATGGTATTTGGAATTGTCATTCCCTCAACTCTTTCAATCCCAGATCATAGCTGGTGCCCTATTAAAGAAGAAATTATGGCAACAGCATGGGTATACTGCATCCACAGGGTCCAAATAAGCACACCATGGGAGACTGGCATTGCTGGATTAATTTAGTTTGCCTGACTAAACTTAAGGTGTACATCACCATCGTCGTCAAGTGTCTCATCAGCTAGCATAGGCATTCATGCATCTCCTCAGATCTCTGTCTTTGGTGTTCTGGATCAATTCCACTGATATTCCTCCATGCCACTGTCTTAAGCCATCCACCTTCATTTCTCTTGGTCTGCCTTTGCTACCAGTGATTTTTTTTCTAATCGTCAAGATATGTTCTAGTGCTCATTTTCTCATCAGTGACCAAAGAACTTTGTCTCCTTCTTGTTGTTTATAAAGTTCTACTTTCATTAACCATTTTCCCTGTGTGGGTTCCGGGACCCTATTATAGGGAAATCAAGAATAAACCCACTGCCTACCCAAAAGCATGTCATAAGAGTCAACTAATTGGGAGCTTCTTTCGAAGTGGGTGTGCATCTGCCTGAGAGGCAAGGAACCAGCAGTCTGCATACAAATCAGTCAAATCTGTAAAATGGATGCACACTCAGTTTCTGGAACAGGACTGCAGTCCAGAAGTGGATGAACATCCAGTACTTTCTGCTAGAGTTTACAGCTGGTGAACGCGAAGAAGATGAAGAAGAAGATTAACCATTTCTGGGAAATCATTGTTAGTTATTCTGGCAGTCCAAGGAACTGGCAACAATTATTCTTCTCAAGAACCACATCTCAGTTGCCTTACCTTAAGATGTGCACACATACAAAACATGTCGACTGGTGCACATGAATAATTTCCAGTACACACGATGCGTTGTTTGGGACCAAAAAAGTTATTTGTCATCTTCTTCTTTACTGATCCCTTGCTTTTATCTCAGATTTTGCTTCGACTAATGCTGGCTTTTGGGCGCCACATCAGAGCCCAAACAATTTTAACGCTAAAACACCAGCGTTCACAGTTCAGCTCTGTCTTCCAGATGATTCACAATAAGCCAACCAGGAGGGTGTTTTCATAGACTCTTGCCTGTTGGTCCAAAGATCATGGGTTTGAATCTGCATCAGAGCAATTTTTAAATAACTGACCTGCAGTTTTATCAACAGTTATACGAACAAGAAAATGGCAATAAACAGTAGCATAGGGAAAAAGCAAACAGAGAAACACTCAACAGGAAATTGAATAGGAAACAAATAAACTGGGGAAACAAGGATATCCAAGGGAAGCTGTAAGATGAATATTGTTGAGAGAGGCCAAAGGTGCAGGACCAGATTTTATTCACCACATTGGAATGATTGCACAAGATTGAATAGAACAGATGACTGGACTATTAGCCTTTTATGACAAATAATGGCACAACATTCATCATGCTGTAAAAGTAAGTAAAGTAAAGGTTCCTTTTCCACATATAGGGCTAGACTTAGATTTTTATAGACCAATCGGTACAAGATGGGTGATGTGGCCAGTATCACGCCAGCCGCCTTTACTTCAAGAGCCTGCACCTGGTACCCACTCAAAGCTGGGAGTCAAGGTCTTTTTTTCTAAAAGTCTGGCTCTGCCAGGGAGCGAACCCACGACCTTCCGATCTGCATGTGTGTCTAGCCGATACGCCACAATGACTTTCAATTCATAATGATGGCCTGATGGAGGGTGCAGTTTCCGGGAAACAGGGCTGCGGCTGAACTCCATGAATGTGGTTACAAGACATTAAAGATGCATTGGTTACAATATGAAAGCTCATAGAGCTGGAGAATGGTTAAAGAAAGAGAGACTTTGAGTTGTACCGTTCTATAAAGGACCTGCTAACTGATGAATGGCACAACAGAAGGAAGATGACCATGTCGGGATTACAGCTCACTCACGAAAGTCCTTTTCAGAGCCCAAACAATTTTAACGCTAAAGCACCAGCGTCCACAGTTTAACTCTGTCTTCGAGATGATTCCAGATGATTCACAATAAGCCAACCAGGAGAGTGTTTTCATAACCAATAAACCATTTATTTGGTATGCTACCTATTGCCAGGCAAAACCAGAGCCCTGAGAAGAACAATTTCTTCTCTTTCTTATACACACCATTTAAAAAAAAAAATGGACATTGGGAACAAGGAAATAACAATCAGTCAATTAGGTGCTATCCCCACAATGAAGCTGGTTAAATTTCAAGCATGCTGTCTTTCATCATGGGTGTATACTCTCTCAGACTTGCTGTTCATCCATCTGTGGATGTTAGTGTAACCAGGTGGGGTTTACATTTATAAGGAGGATAGAGGGAAGGGAGATATAAAAGCAGAGAGAGAGACAGACCAGATGAATAACAGTTTAAGGATTTATGAGAAGATAAAAGGTTCATCTATGTTGCTAGTGTAGTATGAGTCTACAACCAAGACAGTCAGGTGGAGGTCTAAAAAAGAATATGTAGTATCAGTATAGTCAAGCAGTATAAATACTACAACAACAAACAGTGATACAACACCTATACTCACATACACACACACAATGATGGAATAAAATAATAAATGATAAATAACAATCATGTCATATATCTCATGTCATATTAAACAAACAAGATCACCTCAAAACACAACATAATACACAAGATCTTATAACAAGTTATAATCAGAGTGAGATCAATCATTACTCACACTACAAAACTTCAAATATTACAAAAGCCTACCATTCATTGCAACTGACAGCAGAATCCATTCAACAATAAACTAACAACTCCTAGTATCTTTTTCCTTGATGTTGACCAGTACTTGGTCACAAATATCATAATACAACAATATCATCTAACAAACATTCTAGATATCACCTATTAAATAGCCAAACACTAACTACATATTAGCAAAACGCTACTTCCTATTAGCCAAACCAGTAAAATCATGACTGCAACTGTCATGTGTCACCTGTTAGGTATAGTCAAACAATCTAAAAGTTAATATTCCTATGCATTTAAACGGGACCACAACAACAGAAATCTTATTTTACATTGCATTCAACCGCTATTCTTCACATGAACAGTACACACTTTAAACACTACTTCTTATGACCTTGTATAAATTTCTATCCACTAACTCACAAGTACTTTTAATCAACACATACTACGATGCATAACTATAAGGTCCTTTTCCATGCCTTTAGGCATATAGGGAAGGACCTATATTTTTATAGACCAATCGGCACAAGATGGGTGATGTGGTCAACATCCCGCCAGCTGCCTTTACTTCCTGGGACTGCACCCAGTACCAACTCAAGGCTGGGTCGACCTGAGATTCAAGGTCATTTTTTTTGTAAAGTCCGGCTTCACCAGGGAGTGAACCCACGACCTTCCGATCCACATGTGAGCGTTCAGCCGCTACGCCACAGCGACTCCCGATGCATAACTATGCATACAACTATTAACTTTTATGACCTGAATGTCCATGCCATTCCACTTTTACAACAGCAGTCTGATTAGCAACCTGGCCTGAAGTAGTGTCCCATAATTCCCTGGTGGTACATCTTTTATCACATGTTATGAGTCTGCATGACTCAAGTTCAAATTCCACATAAGAGGTTTCACTGGGACTACATCCAAAAAGGGTGTGGCAAGCTACCTGAAGACACTTTCAGTTAAAAACCAGCGCTGTTATCAAAAGTCAAAGCACTCAATGAATGGTTAACCTCTGAGCCACACAGTGTGACAGAAACGGCTCTAGACAACCAGAAGAAGAGCTGGGGTAGCATAGTGGCTAGACGTAATCCAGAGAAAATTTCATCAACTTTAAAGAAAAACATATCAGCCTAGTCTTCGTAGGTCCTAGAAACACCCTGCATTTGTGAATTATTCCATTAGGACTGAACAGAGTAAAGTCATTTCCAACACCCCTACACAAACTCCCCACACAGGAGGACAAGCAGTTGGACGGTCATCTTGGAGGCTGACTCATGGCGGCAGCTTTCCTAAAGTTGTTGAAATGGTCCAAGTACTGCAACATTGTGGTTGCTGGGGTGTAGATTTCATCCATTTTTTTTTTTTGAGGGCACTTGGTGGGCTCTCAGCAATGTTCCCAATGAGGCTCTGTAGTAGTTCCTTCAGCATGGCCCAGCACTCACTGGCTACTATACAGGGGCAATATTCCACCTGAAAATGTATCACTGTATCATCAAAATTCTATAATTATTTTCTAAGCAATTAATCACCAATTTGATATCACTGCACTCTGAACTTCCTATGCAAGCTCCGTCTTCTTCCGCAGCAGCCAACAAAGGATCCGCTAACAATAGTTAAATTACATTGGTTCTATGCACGCTGTGCATTGTTTAGGAGGCCAGGATATGAATATATTAACTAAAAATAACATTTGGAGGGGGTGTGTGGTCCTTATAACACCACTGGTTTTTTAAAAACCCATGTTGGCATCAAATTTGCCCGTAATCTCAATAACAGACGTCACGGCCTAAGTCACCTGATACATATTTGTTTAATCCCTGGGCAATGTATTCTATTTCATGCTTCATTCTGTTCGTGTTTACTATTTAACCCTTTATGTATTTCAAAAAAACTGAATTAATCTTTCACTGCATGGATTCTGTTTTATTTGATCCCAGAGAGCCTTCATAAAGTAGCTCTTTTTAAGCAATGGAAATAGTATCATTATTAAAATTTTAAAATTATTTTATGTGAATGTAATAAAATAATGTCATCAAAATTCAATAACCTATATACAGCCATGTAAAAAAAAAAAATTACATGCTAATAGAAAACCACACAAATGAGTAGTTAAACAGGAAAAGACTATCTCTATTTTTTTTAAGGCAGAACATAGTCTTTAACTTACTCGCACCTCAAGTAATGGAGTTACTGTAACTTAAAGGCTAGATGACCCACAGGTCTGGGGTTCAAATACACATCAGGCAATGTATTGTTCCAAGTTTTACCATAGCGACAGAAGTTTTACAGTATGAAGATAAACATCTACTTAGCATAAGAGACAGGGCTTAGAAAGGTTAAGGCCAGAAAAGACAAATTCTGGTTCATTGTGATTTTTGTTGGACACAAGAAGTGAGTTATGTTAGAGTTATGCAAGCAAACTGAACAGATGATTACAATGGTGAAAGAATCAAAGATAATTTTTGTGTTTGGTGCTGAGACAAGAGGCTGGAAGAGTCAGCATGAGTAAACATGAAGACTGAGTCTACCCAAGAGGCCTGCAGCGGCTGTGAATACCTGGCCATTTGTAACTGTCAAGGTGGAAGACTGTGTGATGACTGCCAACCGTTTCTTTTGAATAATACTACTCTGAATGAGGAGCGTGACAGTGATTGTTTGTGGATCTGGTTTGCATGCAGAATATTTTGTCAAAGTGATTTTTGAGTGCTCACTGGTCGTAACCATAAACAGACAGTAATGAAATAGATGACACAGTTTGGAACAGTGATTGAATTGTGTTTTAATCAGAGCCTTGTATATCAGAAAGTCGTTGTTCGTCCATTTCACATGTCTGACTGACTCGCTTGTAGACCGTTGTTTCGCTGCCTCTCAGGCAAACCTACCCTGACTTCACTCTGTTTACAACAAAATTTAGTCACTGTTTCAACCTGTGTCAACTATTTTATTATATCTTCTTCTCGTTCACCGGCTGTGAATTCCGACAGAAAGTCTAGGTTGTTTGTCCATTTGGACTTTCGCGTGTACATTTGTTTGACTGGCTTATTGATCTACAGTTCTTGTTCCCTGCCTCACTGCCAGATGTACTCCGACTTTGAGGGAAATTTCATTATATAAATTTAATGGAGTTTAAAGCCGGTGAACACAAAGAAGAAGAAGAAAGTCTTTTGTCAATTTCTGTTTGTAATCTGCCAATGCTGCTGAATCCTGGAACCATAACTATTTAGAGAAGCCCATGGTTTGGTCACCTTGAGTCACCTAATGAGTCTCTTCTATGCTACTCAACATGAAAATCGAAACACCAAGAGGCAGGGGAAGACAAGAAGAAGATGGATTGAAAGTCACGGAGACTTGAGACACATGCAAGGAGGATTTTCTCCGCAGCTGATCTTTGCTCTCATGTCAACCCAGCCTATGGGTACCAGGTAATGTCCTGCAAAGTAAAGGTAGCTGGCATGATGTTTACCACATCACCGAAGGAGTGCAAATTGGCCCATAAAAATATGAGTCTAGTATCATATTAGCCACAAGGGCCCTTTACTTTTACCTACCTCGAGTAAGATGCCTTTAAAGCTGCCGGCTAAAGACACAGAGCCAATCTTTAATATGAAGTCTGCCAACTGGAATCTGTTGCCTTTGGACTCGATCTTGGCTCCCTTCCATGCTTGGTATATATTCTTCAAGTTTGACATCAAGGCTATAAATAGTGTATCGGCAACAAGAGTGGCTCCAGAATCCAAAATGGCAAAACATGATGCTGGATACTCACTGTTGTGAAGTATATGCAATGTTTTTGGAGCTGAAATTAATTTTTTTTAAACATACTTCATAAATAAACATCCATCTATCATCATACTTGATTCATAAAAAGCTAATTAATGAAGTGATTCAAATACTTCTTGAGAATTAAGGGGAATCAGCGCTATTTTTGTTAACCCTTCCTGTCAAAGGATAGCTTATAGTTTAAAGAAGCACTCTGTGAAAAAAAAAGGAGTTAAAGCAGTCTAGGAGTTAAGTATTTATTGTTACTGGCAAAATAGTGAAGAAAAATTGCTGTGACATGGTGGGTTCGTATAACAACTTTTACAGGATGTAAGGGTTAACGACTTAATTTTTATTCCATCTTCAAAACATTTACAAATATTCTCATTGGGTATGTTTCCTGATTTTCGCCACAGCTTTGATAAATACAGTGTAATCTTTGTTTTCTAACTTCTTTTTCTCTTCCTCCAGTTTATCAGAGTGCTGGGAGAAGATGTAAGAATCTTCTGTGTGCTTTTCCTATATGTTGTGTGAGTAGGTCTTCATTCCCTTGACTCTCTGAGTCCCAGAAAGTTCAGCATTAGTTGGCAGGCAAGAGAGACCTAAAAACTGCATCTTGTGCTCATTTGGTTTCTAGGTAGGAACCTGTGAATGTATGATGCATTCCTTGGGACTCATAAAGAGTTAAAACTGTCCTTGCTATTTTTCAGGCCTTAAAGAGTTAACCTGTCCTTAAGGCACATCTTGACTGTATTGTTCCTTATTCTGCATGTTCATCTCCTTGTTCTGTGCCCAATATCCTTCTGCAGCCTGGCTCTCTGTGGCATTTGGTAGTAAAGCATTGTCATTAGATGGTCAAACCATGTAATTTGTCACTCTTTAATAAACTGCACATGTGACTGTTGCAGGCATAATATGATCTCTATGTGTTAGGAATCTGTACTCATTAGTTTTAACATAATGCACAAACAGACTTCATTAAATTTGTTCATGCTTATCTGAGGTTTGGTTTTAGGCCCTTTCACTTTTCAGAAATTTACATAAGTTGTTGAGTAAGTAAATGTGTTTTTTTTTTTAAAAAGTGTTTCAAGAAGAGAGGACTGACTTTACTGCACTGGGTATACTGCTTCTATGCCTCAGTCTCGTTAGAGTTGGCTGCACAGCAACAGAACACAAAACTCTTTTTTTCCCTTTCTAATCCCTGTTTTGCTTTTCAGCATATGGTTCTGAGAGGTGCCTGGTGCTAGCCTTGGTGTCTTACAAGGGTATAATATCATGGCCTCAGATCATGGCCTCTGGTTGTTTACCAAAAGGCTTGGTCCTTCTTCTTGTGATTGCTTTCTGATTTACACTGACAGACAAGTTCTTGTGATAGACTTCATTGTTTTTAGGAATATTCTTTTATAGTTCTATACAACTTTGAGTGCAGTGTTGCCTCAGTGGGCAAGTATTACTTTCTTAAAAAGGGACATTCTTGCAGGACATGCTCTGTAGTTTGCACACACAGCCCATACAGGCACAATGGTGAACTTCTTAGATAAAGCCTGTGCATAAGGTTGTTAAATCTGTTTTGCCCTGTCCTGGGGTGTAGAATAATTACCTGTCCATGCCGGTCAAGAAAATGGCAGTCAATTCTGGCCAGATTTTGTTAACTTCTGATAGATTGGATGGCCTTTTGGAACAGAATTTACCAGTGGGTATATACTTTGTGTGATGGTAATCGTCTGGATATGTGAAAGATGGCAACATCCCCACATTTAACTGCACTAGTTGCTGATCCATCTGTGTAAGCATGTATCCAAAAGTGTTCTGAATAGTTTTCCTGGACCACACCAATAGCAACTAATCATTTCTGAAGGCCTTTGAACTCATTTCCAGCTGTGAGTCCACTGAAAACAGTCATTACCTGTATTATGTCACTGACTTGCTCCCAGAGAATAGGGTAGGTTTCAGCAGTGTCATTCTCATGGGTAGGTCTGCTTTGTACTGTCTTTGTCTTTTCCCACAAAGGACAAAGTTGCAATGTCTGAGATGCCCCAATGCCAGATCATCTAATCTTGCTTTCACTGGGTGTGACTAAACACTATTAACAATAAACGTATCCATCTGGATCACAGTTTTAGTGTCTTTTATAGGATTAGAAGTAATCTGGTAATCTCAGTTTCAGCTTCATAGCAAACGGGTCACCCCATTGTTGCTCCGACTGTTTATCACAGTCCCTTGTGGAAAGATTGACAGACTGTTGTCTCAGCATATGCACTAGCATATAAATGAATTAACAGCATACGGTAGCCATCCAAAGTGCCAACACAAACAGTCCGACATTAGAAATGCAGTTCATTATGGATGGTAGCAGAAGTCACCAAAAGATTAGCAGTTGCACACACGATCAATTTTAATCACAGAATGGCACCATCAATATTGCGACAACAGGCATCGAGGCCATTTTCTGAATCTACATTTCACACCACTGCGTTGGTCGCAGTAGAAAAATATTCCAAATTAAATCTGCAGCTCACAGCGTCACGCCATGCACTCAGAAGCTGGGCGAAAGAAGGACAATGTCTGCATTGCAATTATTTTCTGCATCTACTGTCATATGATAGCTGTCTTATCTGACAAAGAAATGACATTCAAAGCATGACAAAAACTGCTTTATCACTTCATCAAGGCCACCCTTGGGTCTCCTTAGGTCAGTATTCCCTCCATCAAGGGTTTCCTTGGTCAAAGTCAACTCTGACCAAGGAGACCTCCGAAATGTGTATCAGCATCGTCTGAAACTACTGCCTTGAGATAATCCTCCACTTTTCAAACTGATTAATCCAAGCTTTAAGCCATTCTACCATATGATAAGTGGACATGGTGAGATCCTCTAGAAATAGTGAATAGAACAGAAAAAGCATCTAAACCTGGAGAGAGTGATTAGGGATTCAGAAAGGAAGGAGCAGATCATGTGGAAAATACTCACAACTTCGGGGGGGGGGGGGGGGGGGGGGGGGGAGAGAGAACTGGTTACTGAAAGAGACTGAACACATGGAAGAATGTGCTGTGTGCACCAAGGGCAATTGTTACCTGACTCAATTTTAATCTTTACCACTCTAACCTCTTCTCACACCTAATTACAAACATACATTTTACACAAATGTACATTTTCTAAACCACCATCACTTACGATTAAGCATAACTGATTGATACGTCTCACAGTCCACATAGAATGTACCCGTCTTACTACCACCCATAGTCTCCACCTGTTTCTGTAAGATATCTACCACCTGGGCTCCACTGCGACCTTCAGGTACTGGATAACTAAACACACTGAAATTCAAAGAATAATTATTACTGTTTAACATCCTAAATTAATGACCTTATATAGGTTTCTGTGGTGAAGTGGTCAAGCTGTATGCCTCATGGTCTGAAGATCGTGGGTTCCTTTAATGACCGCTCCCTTCAGTTACAGAGATCCCTGGGGATCGTCGCTGGAGCTACCGAGTTCACTTTTTGGCTGTTGTAGTTTTTCTAGGTAAATTTTACGTTCAGTGGGTCAATACAAATTAACCCTTTGGAGACGACTCAGCCAATCTATCGGCCAACAGCAGAATGGCCAAAAAGACCAATGGGCCTCTGTCGGCCCATTAATAGAAGCACAGAGATTAGCTAGCAGGTTTCTGTACCAGCCAATCATATTGCTTCCCATATTTCTTGCTCATGTGGGATGTTCAATGACTGCTTTTGTGAAAGTTTTATGTGCTCTGTAATTTTAAACAAAGTTTTTGTGTGTGTGTGTGGGGGGTGACCCGGGGTGGGGGGTGTTACCCGGGTTCAACAGCAGACAAGGACTGCTTATTTTAAACTACTCATTGCCCATTTAAAAGTTTACTTGTATCATAAGGTATAGGGCTTTTTATCTTCTACCATGGTACACAACGGTATGCAGTACCAGTACCTTTGTTTTGCATTTTTTTTCAGCACTACTGCTTAATTAAACTCTTCGTATTCAGGTTCGGCACCTTTAAAACACTTTATAAAATTGACCACTGTTTCAAGTCTTAATCATGTACTGTTTATGTTAAACTGAGAACTTTTTGTTTGCTAAGTCAAGCACCTAAACTGGTAAAATACTCAAGTTCTATTTACTCAAAACAATGTTTTTCTTTAGTGAATTGAAATGCACATGCAGACACAAACAAAAATGAAACCCTCTCTACACTGTACTTGTCTCAAAATAACGCCCCAGACTTTCATTATTATTCATTTAATTTGATAACCACTATTTATTTTCTTTGAAATCGCCATTTTATTACTTAGTATCTTCCCATTATTCAAAATGAGTCCCATTTTTTTTTATATCACTTTCTACTCATCCATCGCCTATCCTCCAAATAATGGTCCCAAATTATTGAGGCCGAAAATATACCCTAACAGAGCCTCAGTCACATGTAAATTGCGGACTTTCGGCGACTTAAACTGCGGACTTCCTGAGACTACCCCCATCGCCGAGAGTATCTCCCGTGCCGCATGGCTAAACTAGATGGCTGGGACTCACGAGCAGCAGCTACCACATCTCCTGCAGCTTCCGTCATTTTATTTGCTTGTGAGTCCCAGCCATCTAGTTTTTTTAGCCCCACTTCGAGCACCATATAGTGGTGTGCGAGATACTCTCTGCGGTGGTGGTAGTCGCCGGAAGACCGCAATTTACATGTGACTGAGGCCCTGTTAGGGTATATTTTTGGCCATTATTCGGAGAAAAGCCCATTTAATTTTAAAACCACTCTTTTTTTTTGGGGGGGGGGGGGGGGGGGGGTGTCACCATTTTATTACTTGTCTTCAAAATGATCCCTTTTTTTTAAAATAACTTTCTACTCATTTATATAGTCGGCTCTGTGGCTAAGTCGATGCGAAAGCTTGAGCTTCGTAATGCCGGGATCGATTCCAGCTGCGGGCCATGCGCCTCTTGCGTTGGTTTCGACAGTGACAGCACAGTGGGTAGTGTGGTAATGGTATCAAGAAAGCCGACCGTCCAGAAAACAATAGCAAACTACTGGACGTAAATTTGCCTAGAAAAACTACTACACAACAGCCAGGGGCTGTTGGGGGTGGTTCTGCAACGTCCTGTAACAACTAATTAAATTTAACTATTTTATTTTATTCATTCATTCAGTAGCATGTCCCTCGCGGGACCTCGCTGCCATAACAACCCTCCGGAAAACCTTCCTATCATGAGCAAGATGTCCTGCGTCTGATACACCCATCTGGAGATCATCTGCCACATCCTGCACCCATCTTCTCCTTGGCCTTCCTCTTCCTCTCTTCCCAGGCATATACCCCTCCATTATTGTTCTCTCTAGACTTCCATGACGTTTCAAGTGACCAAAATATTTCAATTTTCTTTGTTTTATTGTCTTTACTAGCCAACCCTCTTCAATATTCAGCTCTTGAAGTATGGATGCATTTGTTCTTTTCTTTACCCAAGATATTCTTAGAACCTGTCTGTAACATTTATATTCAAATGCATTTATGCGTTGTTCCGCTTGTTTAGTAAGTGTCCAGGTCTCACAGGCGTATGTTGCAATGGGAAAGATGCATGCTCTTAAAAATCTGACCTTTGTAATTCTATCTGTACAATTCCATAATTTATTCAGTTGTTTTAGTCTTTGAAGAGCAATTGATAGTCGCCGTTTAATTTCTTTCATTGTGTCACCATTGTTGGTAACCAGTGACCCAAGATATTCGAAATTTTCCACCACTTCCAATCTTTCCTCATTAACATATATTTCCTTCTCCATGGCAGTTTTGTTTGTATGCATTATCTTTGTTTTTGCTATGTTAAGAAATAAGTTATGATTTTCACTATTTCTTTGGAGTGAGGTTAATAAGTTTTCTAAACCATTTTGTGATGTTGATAGTAATACTGTATCATCAGCATAACGAATTTCTGGTATTTCATGACCACCGATGTTTAGGGCATCATATTGTTCCTTGTTTATATCATCTCTTACATTTCTCATTATATTTTCGGCGTACAGGTTTGACAAATACGGTGACAGCACACATCCCTGACGGACTCCTTGCTTGATGCCAAACCAGTCTGATGTCTCTCCATCTATTCTGACTGCTGCTTGTTGGTCTTGATAGAGCATTTTAATGAGCTGCACTATATGTGATGGAAAGCCCATATTCCTCATGATTTCCCAAAGCTTCTGATGTTGTACACAGTCAAATGCTTTTGAATAATCCACAAAACATAAGAACAGATTTACATTAAATTCTCTACACTTCTCTATTATTAAACGCATGTTGAAAATATGATCTCTTGTTCCTCTTCCCTGTCTAAATCCAGCCTGAGCTACATTAATCTCTTCTTCCATTTTCTTATGCAGTCTTCTCATTATAATTTTTAGTAAAATTTTACTTGCATGACTGATCAGGGCAATAGTTCGATAGTTTGTACATAATTTCAGGTCACCCTTTTTTGGTATTGGAATGAAGATAGTTCTCTTCCAGTCTTTTGGCCAAATACCATATCTTTTCACATAATGCATGATAGATTTTTATGCTTTCTTCTCCTCCTGCTTTAATCAATTCAGCTGGTATCTCATCACATCCAGGTGATTTACCATTTTTCAGGCTCCTTATTGCCCATGAAATTTCATCTAATGAAGGTTCAGGTTCTGCCTCTACTGTTACTGGTTCATGTATATCATTCATATCCTCACTGTCATTCATATCATACATTCCGCTGCAGTATTCCTGCCATCTTCCTAGAATTTGTCTAGATTCTGTTAAAGTATTTCCCAACCTGTCACAAATAACATTTAACTGAGGTTGAAAATTTCTTGTCAATAACTTCATTTCCTTGAACATTTTGTAATCTCTTCCATTTTTATGATGCTGCTCTATTTTAATACAGCAATCTTGTACATACTGATTTTTATCCTTTCTTGTGTACTTTCTTATTTCTTGTGTTAAAAATTTATACTTCATCCTACTGTCATTGGTTTCACCTTTCTTTTTCAGTTCCCTTCGTTGTTTTATTAGTTCTAACGTGTATGGTGTGATCCATGGTTTATGTTGCTTAGTCCTGGTGGGTATTAAGTCTTTAGCTGCTGTTATCAAGATATCCCTAGCTTGTACCGCCAGTTCATCAGGTGTCATTTCCTCTTGTACAGACATCAAGATCTCAAAACGGTTCTTCACTTCTACGTTGTATGCATCTGGTATTTTTGTGAGATCAAATCGAAATGGCCTTGGTCCTCGGGTAAGCTTTTTGAGTTTTAATTTCAGATCTGCTTCTAGTAACTGATGATCTGTATCGCAATCTGCACTTCGCAGGGTTTTTGCAGATGTTATGCTCGATCTCCATCTTCTTTGTATTAAAATGTAATCTATCTGATTTTTGGTAACACCGTCAGGGGATGTCCATGTGAAAAGCCTTCTAGGGTGTAACACCCGGTGTTGTTTATAAAGTGTGTTAGCTATTGTTAATTCATTTTCTATGCAAAATTCAATCAATTTTTCTCCTGTTTTATTTCTATTACCCAATCCAAATTTTCCTAAAATGTGTTTCTCATTTTCAGCTCTGCCTGTACCTACTTTAGCATTAAAATCTCCCATTATTATTATTATATCATTCTGATTAATTTTATTTAATGTGTCTTGCAGTCCGTATCGTATGGCATAAAAATCTTCAATTTCGCCCTCCTCTGCTGTTGAAGTTGGTGCATATACCTGCATGAAAGTTATGTTTTTTGGACGGCCTTTAAGTCTGATAGTTAGGATTCTATCACTAACTGGATTATATCCCATAATAGCTTTTGCTGTTGTTTTATCTAAACAAAATGCCACTCCGCTCTGGCCATTTTATTTTATAACTCATCTAATTTAATTAATAATTATATATAGTGGACTATTACTACCGCCATCGTCGTACTATAAATTCCGTAAATCAAATAAAGGAACTTAATTTGTAATTCCTGAGAACTCACTTGTTCTGGAGTACTTACCAAGAGACACCCATGTTAGCAGATATACTCTTGGTATGTCGATGTAAAACACCGAAAATGACAAACAGTATACAATAATTCACAACTGGCGTCTGTGGGCAACCATCTTGATTATTAAAAAGTTAAAAGCTAACCTTTAGAGGCTGGGCTGCCAATGAGATTTTTGTCAAAAACCCATATGGGGCTGACGAAAACCGAAGATATGAACAAAAAATAAAATAAAAAACCCAGCACTGTGCAAAAAGTATTTTATTGTTATGAAACTTAACATATATCCACCTTTATTAAACTGTTACTCTAACAGCTCTCCTTCTTCACCAATTTCAATTGTCACCGTCTCTTTCTGTTTTTTTTTTTTTTTAATTCTGCTTAAATATCTTTGACTAACTGCGCCACTTTGCAATTCTTTTAGCAATTCTTTATTAGGTGTCCATGTCGTGCAGTCGCTATTTCCTCTTGTGATTGCTTGCCTTGCAAGAATTCGATCTTTTACAGTGTCTGCTTTCAGAGAATTAGTTTGTTTAGTTTTGACACAGATCATCAGGGAAAATATGCGTTCAACCGTTGCTGACGAGTGAGGCAAAATAGTGAGATTGGTCATAAAAGCGGATAAAATGTCATATTTTACATTTTAGGCCATCTTTTATGCTTCTCAGTTGGTACCAATACTGCCATTCCTCTTTGAAACACTGAGCATACCATTTTCTTTTCTTCGATGGTGTTGAATTCAACAAGGTTATAATCAGAGTAAATTTTGATAGCACAGTTCAACAAACCACAACACAGCAACAACAAAAAAAAAACTAGTGAAAACTTAACTAAAGGTACTTAACCCTAGTAGTCCTTAGTTGGTTTCTGCTAATCTGCTTTCTTTCAATTCAACCAATGAGACGCTACAAAGGTCAATAACCCCTAGAAGAGAGGAAAAGCCTCCCAAACTTTCTTCAATAATTAAATGTCAGGTCCCTTCTTTCTTCTGTAAAGTTTACGATCAAAGGTCCCAGGCTTTATCTATTTTGCTTCTCCGCCCCTAGTATCTGTTACTTACTGTTACTTAAGGGACACTACTTGGGGATCGTAAATCTGGTCCTTTGGTGGTCTGCTACATTTTTCCTGAATAGCCCTGGAGTTAACCTTTGTATTCTGTTACATTAATTACACTGAGTTTATTTTAAGTGTTTGTAGGACATTCCAAAATATAATTTGCGGGTAAAACTATTAAAGATATGTGTACACACATTATTCTTGTTAGAATATTTATTAATTGTAGTTTTTTTTTTCATCATTAAGACTGAAAACCCAAGATTTTCAATAATTTTCAAAATAAAAACCAAGAAACCAAGACGGCAACTAAAAAAAACAAGATCTTGGGGGAAAACCCAGCATTGGCATCCCTGTTCAGAGAGAGAGAGAGAGAGAGAGAGAGAGAGAGAGAGAGAGAGAGAGAGAGGGGGGGAAATGCCGGGTATTATTTTGTTTCGGAATGTAATTTTAATCATAATTTTTTTTTTTTCAAACTAAAGTTAGGGTATACCAAAGTTAGTTAGTCTTTCCTCTTGTGTCGAGTGCGGCACATAGGGCAGAGGTCGTGACTCTCCATGCACGGCGGTCCGTTGCAATCCGTTGTAGGTCTTGGATGTTTGAGTGGCCCATGAGCGAGCCTTCCCTGATGATAGTTCTACGTAGGGTTTCCCTTGGTCTTCCACGAGATCTTTTCCCCTGTGGTGTCCAAATGAGGGCTTGGTAAGGAAGTCTTGATTTATCCATTCTAAGGACGTGGCCGACATAGTTCCAGCGGCGTTTTCGTATAAAATTAGACACATACTCTTGCCTGGATTCTTGCCTTATTTGTGTATTGGTTCGGAAATCTGACCATTTGAAATTTAGTATTCTTCTAAGGCATTTATTTTCAAAACTGTCTAATTTTGTGTCTAGAGTTTTCGTTGATTTCCAACTCTCGCATCCATAGGTTAGTACTAAAGAGGAGCAAATATATCGGTACAATATTTTTTGCCTCCCCCAAACACGAAATTCCCGTGGGAATTCCACAGCTGACTTGACAGTCCATTATTTCAAGGGGTGCAAGTGTGCTGCTGTCTGCTGCTGTTTTTGAGTGTTCATCTAGTGTCTTATGGTGCGACATATTTCGGTCTGTTGATGCACATTTGGCTGCTTGATGATGCGCAATTGGCCGGTCTGCAATATTACTCATGTTTTCATAACATGTCAACATTTGAGTGCATAGCGTAGTTGGTATCACATCTGCCTTGTAAATGAAAGATACCGTGTTCAATACCGACGTGAACCATTGTGAATTTCCTTTTTTTTTTTCAAATGAAATGTAAATTGTGTGTGTGTTTTGTTGTCACAATGTTTTTTTTTTTTAAATAAAATGTAAATTGTGTGTTTTAAATGAAATGTAAATTGTGTGTGTGTGCGCGCGCGCGTGCGTGTTTTTTTTTTAAATAAAATGTAAATTGTGTGTTTTAAATGAAATGTTAATTGGGTACAATATTTTTTGCCTCCCCCAAACACGAAATTCCCGTGGGAATTCCACAGCTGACTTGACAGTCTATTATTTCAAGGGGTGCAAGTGTGCTGCTGTCTGCTGCTGTTTTTGAGTGTTCATCTAGTGTCTTATGGTGCGACATATTTCGGTCTGTTGATGCGCATTTGGCTGCTTGATGATGCGCAATTGGCCGGTCTGCAATATTAGTCATGTTTTCATAACGTGTTAACATGTGAGTGCATAGCGTAGTTGGTATCACATCTGCCTTGTAAATGAAAGATGCCGTGTTCAATACCGACGTGATCCATTGTGAATTTCCTTTTTTTTTCAAATGAAATGTAAATTGTGTGTGTTTTTGTTATCACAATGTTTTTTTTTTAAATAAAATGTAAATTGTGTGTTTTAAATGAAATGTAAATTGTGTGTGTGTGCGTGCGCGCGCGCGTGCGTGCGTGAGTGCGTGTGTGTTTTTTTTTTTTTTGTCACGTTTTTTGTAAAAATAAAATGTAAATTGTGTGTATGCGTGTTTGTTGTCACAACGGTTTTTTTTTTCACTACATGTAAAATGTGCACTTAGGCTATGTGAACTCTATGTGCAATCGCAGGAAATGCCAATTGGGGTACTGTGGGGGGCCCTAAAAAGGGCCAATCATTCTACATGAAAACTGCTGGGTTCACGCACGAATTGACAATCACAGAGATTGTACACGTTAGTAGATCTGAACTGAGGTCAAACTGCGGTGGCAGAAGAGACGACGGTCTAGTAGTCTCTCGGGGGCCAGAATCTAGCAATGTCTGCTAGTATGGTTTCAAACATGTCGCCACCCGCACGTTAAGCGCGCCTGCGCCACAGAAACTCACACATGTAAGATTCTAATAAATGTCTGTGGGTGCCATTCTGGCGCTTGTTTCTCTCCTTTGCCGACCTCCACAAACGTTCGATGCATTGCGTATGAGCACCTGTGGTGGGGTCGACAAAATTAATGGAGTGATTGTTTCTGCAACTTCTGGTTCTGTGCAGAATGCCATGCTGTTGCAGGAAGGCAATGCTGCTTTCTTTGTCTTGTACCGATGCAACTAGCTGTAGAAAATTCATCGTGACTGCTGCTGGAAACAATGGCAACTGACTGACTCCGGAAAAGAGCGGTAAACATACGTCATCAATGTTGCCATTTTTCTTTGACAAAAACATCCAAAATTGAGTCAAAAAAGATCTTAAAATATCCAAATTTGCGTGGAAAACATATAGAAAATAAAAATCCAAACGGGAAGAGTCACAAATTACATAGCTATTAATATGACTAAAATGTGTAGCATTAATCTGTGCCGAAAAGTAAATGTGGCCAGTGTAACAGCTACCACATCACCCTTAGAGTGCCAGTACTACTGCTGCTACCACTACCACCACCACCGTCACAACAACAACACAAAACGGTCACTACTGTCTGTACAGGTCGTTGTAAGTGTGCCCCCGACATAAAACTCCATCACTTAACCATGGGCGAACGCAAGGGGAAAAGGGGGGGGGGGGGCATTTGCCCTGGATTGATTGAAAAAAAAAACGAATGCTGTTGCTTGTTCATCTGCAGCAGCAACGCTATCACCAGAACCAGACCCGGACAAACTTGAAAGTGGAGATACTATGTTAACCTAGGACATTGAACTCTGTGTAAAATCTACTACGAAGATTCGATCTTAAGCTCAAGTATCGTTTGCTAACTGATCCATACAAGCCTCACCCGTCATATGATTTTGAAGGCGACATGTCAGGAAGTGGAAAACGTTGTTTCAGGAAATCTTGGCTAACCCAGTATTCTCTATGGTTATCATATTCACCTAGGTTAAAAAGTGCTTTTTGCATTTTCTGTGTTTTATTTCCGCAACCAGTTCAAAAAGGAATTCAAGGTGCCTTTATTACTACTCCTTCTACAAAGATTTTAATGAATGTGCCAGAAACCATACCAGCTCAACATGGCATCGTGGGTCTTAACAAGATGCTGAACACTTGGCGTCAACCATTAGAAATCCAAAAAAGGATATTATTTGTCAGATAGATAATTCCGTAAAACGAACTATTGAAGAAAACTGAAAGAAACTATATCCTTTTATTTCAACAATCTTATTTTGCGGAACAAATGATTTGGCAATTCGTGGGAAAGATAGCACCAAAGGAAATGTCGAACAACTTTATACGTATCGAATTGAGGGAGGAGACAGTATTTAAAAAAAAAAAAACCATTTTGATACAGCTGCTGGAAATGCACGTTACACATCACACCGAACGCAGAATGGTTTGATTAATTTGTCTGAACAAGCTTTGCGAGAAGACATTGTAAAAGCTGTTAACAATGCTGTTGGATTCTTGATCATAGCCGATGGAACAGCAGATATCTTAGGAGCAGAACAGTTATCACTGGGAGTCCGGTTTGTAGATACGTCTAGTGAGAAGGCTATGATTCGTGAGGAATTCCTTGGATTTTCTCCCCTGAAAGGTATGGACGCCGC